ACACACGGAGACGCAAAACAATTTAAATAAAGAGGACGACACACGTGTATTCAGTGTTGCCAACTTAGCAACTTTGATAGTAGTGTTGAGTATTGAAGTATAAACATGCACGCTTACGCTAGAATGAAGTATAAATTAATGAACTATAAATGCATAGTAATAATGGGTGAAGGCCGCTTAAAGGCCGGATTGCACGAACAACATGTATTTCAAGTCTCAACACCAGCACACAAACATGTTGCAGAAAGATGCAGCCCTATCTGGGTCAAATGCAGTTCAACAGGAACCGCCTGTTCCCCATTATAAGAAAGAAGTTGGTTGTCGTCATGCCGAAAGTTCCTAGCAGTCAAAGTGGGCATTAACACAGAGTTGCCAAAGTTGACCGTCAGGTCCTGGGTCGGAGAATCTTTTCCCGGAAAGAGATGTAGTTCAGTCTGGTCGGGGTGGATTTTCAGATGGTGAGCGGACATCTACTGAGAGATTTCAGTCAGACAGGCAGAGATCCGTGCCGCCACCTGAGTGTCCGAGTGAGGGAAGGAGAGAATTAGTTGGGTGTCATCGGCATAGCTGTGGTAGGCGAAGCCATGCAAGCGAATGACAGCGCTGAGAGAGTTGGTGTAGAGCGAGAAGAGGAGGGGACCCAGGACGGAACCTTGAGGAACTCCAGTAGTAAGAGGACAAGGTTCCGACACAGATCCTCGCCAGGTTACTGTTGTGTTCAAAAATGAAGAAACGCCGGACGGACAGAGGTCATCGCAGATCAAAAGGTTAAATCAAATGTATTTAATAAAAGAGATGGCGTTGTGGTAAAAAGAACATCTCAGCTGAGGAGCCGCTGGTCTCAGCAACCAACAGGCCCCAAGTCAGTCTTTTGACCGTCCCTAGTGCCCGTCTGTTGCCTCCACCAGCGAACTCGAGAACAATGGTTCCTACAGGTATTTATAACAATGCTTAAAGGTGTGAAAGTTAGTGTCCACACCTCTGGGAGTGGTCTTCTGGTGAGTTCAATGTAACTCGGGATTTCGAATGATCCTTAGTCAATATCAGTTGTTGTGCAAGTATTACATGTATGCATTCCAGTTGATTGCATTAAATACAATCATAACTGCATTGGTATTATTCTATTACAGTTGCAGAACTACAGTGGTTTTACAATATTGTCATTACTTTATTGATTACAGTTTCAGAATCATGGCTGTATTCTGGTGTACACTATATGCATTTTTATTAATTTTATGAACCGGGTCGTATATTTGTTTCTAATATCCTACATTACCCGGTAGGTGCGGCCGTCGAGGTACGACGAGGAAAGGGAGAGAGCAGAACCTGAGACACCAAGTTCCTGAAGGGAGGAAATTAGGATCTGGTGGTTGACTGTGTCAAATGCAGCAGAGAAGTCCAGAAGGATGAGGACAGAGGAGAGAGAGGCGGCTCTAGCAGAGTGGAGCAGTCTCTATGGAATGGCCTGCCTTGAAGGGGGCCATGGAGGTCGTAACGGTGGAGATAGAAGGAAAGTTGGTTAAAGATAGCACGTTCAAGAGTTTTGGACAAGAAGGGAAGAAGAGAGACCAGCCTGTAATTGTTTTCTTCAGATGGTTTCAGGATAGGTTTCTTCAGGAGTGGGTTAACTCTTGCCTCCTTCAGAGAATTGGGAAAACAGACAGATAACACAGCAGTGTGTTATCAATGCTGATGTTACCACCTTCCTTTCCTCACCTGTCTCATCAATACAGGTGAGGAAAGGAAGGTGGTCAGGAGCGAGGGGGTGGAGGGGGGGAGGAGGACTAGGGGGTTCGAGGAGGTTGGAGAAACAACATGTAATTGTTCAATAATTCAAAATGTTGTGTTTGAAAATATCCCATCATATAAAATGTGTTTCGTTTATATTACTTCTACAAATAAAAATGTGATAATGGACAAACGTAAACTAAATGTCGAATCATTTTTTTCCGAGATGGGCAATCAATCTGAGCAACGTTATTTTGTATTGTATACAATGACGAACGTCATCATGCAATGGCATCACGTCATTTAGCAACAAATCGATCGGCCTCGAGCAACTTTCCCGGAAAATTGATTTGCAACAGTGGTGTCATAAAATATATACAATACGCATAAATACCCTCAATTGTAAATCATATTTTTTGGCGTCATGGTGACGTGACAACGTTCTAGCTATTTTTTATCTACCAATTTTACTAATTATTGTTCAGTTTCAAATTTAAATTTTTTAGAGTTGAACACTGCTAATTAGGTGTTCATATTTTGTGTAATTTTATATATATATATATATATATACATACATACATACATACATACTGTGGCGGGGTGGAAGGAACAGACTACACAACAGTTTCAAGTGAAGTCCCCGGAGGGCAAGGTTTATTTACAACCGTTTAATTAGGAGAGGTCCAGCTTGCGAGGTTCTGCGGACCCTGGTGCTCGTGGTGAATCCGCTCGTGGGGGAGTCGGTGCAGTGCTCCAGGGGTTCTGCCGGGTCACTCGCTGCTTCCTAGAGAGACAAGCGCACACAAGAGGGTTTAGCCTTACGTCTTCTCCAGGGGGCCTCCTTGTTCCTTCTGAACCTGCAGCTTAAATGCAGCGGAGCTGACGAGCTGCAGGTGTGGCCACTCAGCTCGTGATGAGTGGTGAGCAGGTGTTTCTTGTAGGTTCCAGGGCAACGCTGATGTGGGCTTGGGACGCTCATCACAATACATACACACACACACACATACACACACACCAGAAAACATCCAGAAAATTATATTGTAGGATTAAAATATATATATATTTTGCAGTTTATTGCTCCCCACACTATATACTTATTGTTTCAAGTTAAATATTCCTTCTGGGACAACGTAGACTTATGCTAGTGCTTCATTAGAAACCCCATTATGTAAATAAAATACTGAGCACCAGGCAGCGTGGATTCCAAATCAATTTATTGAATTTTATAACCCCTGCATGTATTTCCAAGTTACAACAGTAGAGGACCAATTGATCAACACATGTCGATGACATACCTTGTGTCTCTCCAATGCTTTTTGTAAGGAAAGAAAAGAAAAAAATACTGGAATAACCTTTTTTAATTCTTGGTACTACCCAATAGTGAACAGTTTTCTTCTAAAGGTATGAAAAGGAAATCATGGGGCAGCAAAGGAGGTAATTAATAGAACTCCAAAACATGGAATCTGGTTTTAGGTTATGACAATTAAAGTCCAAATATGATAAGTCACTTTAACATTGGACTGAAAATAGTTTTGGGAGCAGCAAGGTACCAATGCATACAGAGAAGACTGGAGACTCAAATACGTCTTCAAGTATGCAACACCCAACTGAATATATATCCACGTTGCAGACAGTTTACCCTCCATTAAAATAAAAATGTGAGTGCCAATTTAACACCACTTTTCTGTCCATGTTGCAGAGGAAATAACTGGGACTAAACCTTCAGATTACTGCAGCAATTCTGCTGAGTCCATCGTTGAGTTTGGCTCAATTAGCCTGAAGTGTCCATTTAGCTAGAAGAAGACATTAGGGGCGTGTCGGCCATTAATGCCATTTTTAAAAAGGGCATGAAGCTTCCACAATTCAGAAGTTGCAATAATCCCCAAAACTGCCAATTTGTATTTAAATGCTCACCCGTCTTTTTTGAAAGTTTGACAAATCTCCCTCCCACAACCCCCCTCACCCACCTGACGCCAAAGGCCAGGGGACAGTGTACACCCCCTCTCTCTCTCTCTCACTGACTCACCTCACACACAAACTCTCTCACACACTTCCTCGAGATCTTTAGTTCCGTAGCTCTAATCATCAGTTATATTGTTGATAATAAAACTGTCACAACATGTTAAACACACGGCCGGAGCTACAAAAAAGTTGGTGGAAATCGTAATAATTGGTAGTTTTTCCGCCGAGTACTTTTAGTGCTAATTCCTGATAAGTCAGATACTTAATACATGTTGATGATGAGAGCCAGGAAATCTTACAATGTTCCTCAATTTCTAAAAGTGAACACGCAATTTCCACAACTGTGGACACGTGCGTGCAAACTCACACTCCCACACATACATCTCGCTCGCGCACACATACATCTCGCTCGCGCACACATACATCTCGCTCGCGCACACATACATCTCGCTCGCGCACACATACGTCTCGCTCGCGCACACATACATCTCTCTCGCGCACACATACATCTCTCTCGCGCACACTCCCACACATACATCTCGCTCGCACACACTCCCACACATACATCTCGCTCGCACACACTCCCACACATACATCTCGCTCGCACACACTCCCACACATACATCTCGCTCGCACACACTCCCACACATACATCTCACTCGCACACACTCCCACACATACATCTCGCTCGCACACACTCCCACACATACATCTCGCTCGCACACACTCCCACACATACATCTCGCTCGCACACACTCCCACACATACATCTCGCTCGCACACACTCCCACACATACATCTCGCTCGCACACACTCCCACACATACATCTCGCTCGCTCACATATATACATCTCACATTTGCTTCAATGTAAATCCTGAATATCTATTTCAAGAAAAAAAAAGCTAAAAAAATGAAATTTGACCTCATTCGCTCATGAACCAAAGTATTTTTTGTAAACAATAATTAATTTACCATTTTGTTTTCTCAAAATTATTCACAATACCCCGTATAAAGATTGACAAATTGAAAAAAACAGGGGGAAAAGCACTTTGATCATCGGCAACACAAACATGAAACAGGCTCAAAAAGATCTCAGTGCTTCGATGCTTTCTAGTAGAACTAAACCCTCTGGCCTTAAAACACAAAGAAAACCCGGTTGTGTGTACTTTGAGGTAAAACAAAATTAAAGAAAAGCGTTTACATTTGATTTAAGTACCAGAGTAAAGCAAAGATTCAAGACGCCCCCCCAAAAGAGAAACCCCTCCACAAATGACCCAGTGCCAAATGCTTTAAGAAACATCAAAAGAAATCTTAAAAAAGCAAAAATAATCTTTTTATGTTGCGTTTTGTCGTTGTAAAGGAGAGGACAAAAACAAAGAAGTCACAGCTGCCTGTTCAGAGATGCTACAATTTTGCTTTCAAAAACACACAGACACCCCCCGACCTAAAACACAGGTGTGCTGGAGAAACAAAGAAGAACAAGAAAGAAAGAATAGAAGATGTCGCTGCTGCTGCCGCAGAGAGACCGCTGACTCAGTTTCAATTGAAGGTGAATGTAGTCCTTTACCAGCAGAACGCGTCACAAAGGACAGACCTGAAGACGAGTCCTGGTGCAGCGGCAGCAAATCCACTCAAGAGCTTAACATTCAACCTCAGGGCTGGAGAGTATCCACATACAGACAACCGATACATCCACCAACTTCCATTTGGTCACAACGGGGCTTAAAAAGAAAGTTTGACCTCAATATTCGGGCGGAAAAAAAAATGCCTGTAAATAATTCTAACTTTCTATTTCCACACAAAAGAACAGTCTGAAGGAGTAAAAAAGACGAAAAGAGGAAATTAAAAACTTGTTTTGCACCAATTTCCACATAAACGGTTTATCCGTCGGAATCAATTCGTCAGACGCGGGTATCAAAGCTGTTCTGATGCCGGAGGGGAAAGCGGTCCCACAACTACAGAGGCCCGAGCGGTTGGCAGTACAGAAGGCGTCTGGGGGGGCGGGGGGGTCTCAAGCAGTCTCGTCCTTTTAACTCTGCTCAGGTATTATTCATAGCGAAAGGGGAAAAACAGTCACGCAGTATTTAAATAAAGCTGCCCTTTTTTATTGCAACGTTCTCAATAGAAATAAAACGTTCAAATTCATCTGTGGTCTTTGTCCCTTGCATAACGGATGTTTAAATAAACTTGGGTATATGTTGCGCATATTTGTGCTCGTACTCTGCTGCATGACAGGAGACAGCAGGCTATGAATGGATGAGTGCTCATGGGAGTAAGTAAGGCACTTGAGTGACGTGTGTTGCGAGGTGGCGGGTGGGATTGCGCCGTTGTAGCGTCTTTCAGAGGGCAACCATGACAACCGTCTCAGAGAAGGACCGCTTCAGAACAGCTTTGATATTCGGCCTTGCGGTTGTCTCCAAGAGAACTTGGAGGAAATCAACGCTATGCTCGTACGAAGGATGCATGGGTCAATTGGAGGTTGGTGCAAAACCATATGGTGTTTTCATTAAATATGAAGAAAAAAAAAAAAAAAAAAGAATGAGGCAGCTCTCTGAGCAAAGATAAGAAAATGCTTGAGGAAAAAACAAACTGCCTCCACGTCCATTTGACCGGCTGTGGGAGAAAAATGGAACTGAAGAGTTGCCTGTGAACGATGATCTGTGCAAAAGCCTGCAGCGTCCTGGAGGAGACAGAGCGCGGTCAGTGTCACATTCCTTCGTGCAGATAAAGGCTACTAATCATCTCGCAGCATCTCGCCTGGTTTAGGTGCTGTCCTGTTGGCGCCCTGTTGGCTTCTCCTCGATCTCCTCCACGTCGCAGTCGGCGCCGGACGTGTGGAACTCGGCCACGTAGAGGCTCTTGTCGATGCTGCTGGGAATGGGCTTGATGTCGGTCACCAGCTGGTCCTCGATGGCTTTCAGGTTGAAGCGGTCCTCTGATGTGATCAGGTTGATGGCCAAGCCCAGGTGACCAAACCTCCCTGAGAGAACAGCCAAAAATCTGTCTTATAAACTGTAGCGATGTTATCTATTGCCAACAGAGACAGACTGGACTTTAAGTGCAATTTACTTGACTTATTTACTAGTTAAATGAAAACCAATCCAGATCCTGTTGAATATCCAGACATTTTAAAAGTTAGGCAAACTGGGCAGGTGGGAGCTGTACAAGTAAAAACTAGTATACTTACAATTAGAAATTAAAAAGCATTCATCTTAACTTCTTTTAAACATTGCTGCCAATTCTGCGTTTCTAGATTCTTTTTGCTTTCCATTCTTCTAAAGCTCACTTTCCACAAGAGACAGTGAGGCTTCGACAACATGAAACGGTGTAAACAACAGACCTGATCTTCCAATACGATGGAGGTAAGTCTCGGCATTCTTGGGGAAGTCAAAGTTTATGACTACGTTGACAGCCTGGATATCGATGCCCCTGGTGAAGAGATCTGTCAGAAGAAATGAGATTTAAATCTCTGTTGGTATCTGAGGCTTTGAAAAAAAACAAAAAAAACGATTGTACACAACAAACTCACCAGTGCAGACCAGGTTTCTGCACAGTCCATTTCTGAAGTCGTGAAACACACGGTTTCTGTATTCCTGAAAACAAACAGACGTAAAAATGCTGCAGTGGCCATCTGAAATAATACAAATTTAAAAAAAAAAGACATAAGTGCAACATCTCTGTCAGTTGTTTCTTGTCCTCACCTGCATCATCTTGGCGTGGATGTAGAAGCAGGAGTAGCCCAGCTGAGTGATCTTCTTGGCCAAAAGCTCCACCCTTTGGGTGGAGTTACAGAAGATAATCGACTGGTTTATCTGAAGCTGAGAGAAAAGATTGTGTTACGGATCATTATGTCTACCACGTGTCTTCGGATCAAATTGTACAGCAGTGTGTTCACAACACAGAGTTAAAGAAGAAAAAAGAAGCTTTCGCACCACAGCATTATGAGAGGAAGAACCATTCAAATGCTTGGATGTGAATAAAAAAAACAGGTCAGTTACCCTGGAAAAAAGTGTGTTTAGGCAGTGGACTTTCTGCCTCTCTGTGACGTAGGCGTAGTATTGAGTAATTCCCTTCAGAGTCAGCTCCTCCATCAGGTTGATCTCGTAGGGTTTCTGGAGATGCTTGGCCTGCAGAAAGGAGAGAATACAACCGTTTTGTCAATCAATGGAATGTGTCTGGTCATTTTGTTCTGCTGTTTCCAGCATTCCAAAAGACTTTTACAGGATCCCAAACTAGCACATTCTGCAATTGTTGCCCTACAAACAATACCAAACACAAACACAGATCTGGAGACCGTTTGGGAACAGCTTGGGCTGCAGTGTGAGCCGAGCGGCGCCAAGTGGCCCCGAGCCATCGGGCCAGCTGAGTAGTGCAGCAGCTCGCCGAAAAAACCCACCATGAACTTCTGCACGCTGATGGGGAAGGTCGCAGAGTAGAGCAGGATCTGCCTGTTCTTGGCCAGGAAGCTGATGATATCCTCGATGAGCACCACAAAATCCTGAGACAGCAGCTTGTCGGCCTGAGAAGAAACAGACAATTTAATACGAAGCAGGTGAGGTGGAAGTCTGACAAAGCAAATATATATGTACTATAAAACCTTGTGGTGAGCAGAGCGCTTCATATTTATTATTTGTATTTACCTCATCCATCACCATGATCTGGACTCTATCCACCTTGGCCACTCCCTTCTTTATCAAGTCCAGGATCCTACCAGGCGTTGCAATGACAACATGCACTGATGTGGGAAAAGGAAAGGTGAAATATGTTTCATCTTGACTTGAGATGACTAAATATGACTTTCCCATGGTCAGTGAGACACACGGTGCCTTCTTACCGGTTTCATCCAGGCGCATGATGTCATCCCGCAGGTTGGTGCCCCCGGTGGTGGCCATGACTTTGACTCCACCCAGGTGTTTGCTGATCTGGATGGAGATCTGGCTCACTTGCAGAGCCAGCTCACGGGTGGGCACCATGACAAGTGCTAGAACATGAAAAAAACAGTAGTGGGTGGTGGTGAAAAGGATTTACAAGGACACTTAAGACTACAGAAAAGTGAATAATAGGAGGGACACTGAGGGTACAAGTAACAGTGAGGGCCCGGTAAAGAAGGAGGAAACAAAACTAACTTAAGCAACATAGATGGTTTAGAGGGGAGAGAGAAGTGAGGGGGGGTGGATGAGCACAGCCTCTCACCTTGTATGTGGTTCTTTTTCAGGTCTATTCTCTCCAGCAGTGGGATGAGATAGGCTCCACTTTTCCCTGTTCCGTTCTTAGCCCGAGCCAGAATATCCCGTCCGGACAGCGCGATGGGAATGCTCTCCTCCTGCAAAGAATAAAATACAATCCTTGGTCTCATTCTACTCAAGTGTCATGATGATAGATATGTAACGTGTAGGGGTGTAACGATTCATTCACTGAATCGATTAATCGATTTAAATTCCTGCGATCCAACTGAATCGATCTGTGCTCCACAAATTGGCATTCCGGACGACACATATCGATTACAAATCGATTGAAATGGTACATAATCGATTGTATTGATACTTGGAAACTGCACATTGGATTTAAGTACAAAAACGGCATGGATGTGTGTTTGTTTGTTTGTTTTTTAGCACTTTAGACACGTTAAACGTTACTGGATTCAGTCTGCCTGTCTGTGACGTCATCAGTACGCAGCGGCAGCCGCTCGAAACTCGGAACAAAAACAAAACACAGCGTGGAGGAGACGACTGCGAGCGAGACATTTACAAACCAACTTATCGATCCAGCGCGTGGAAACATTTCGGCTTTTGCAAACACGGAGGTGTTCTAAATAAGTCGCTCGCTGTTTGTAGAATATGTAGAAGCCAAATAAAAACCACGGAAACACGACGAATCTTTCCGGCCATCTACTAAGGCGCCGTGGGATTAAACAACGCCGACAGTCAGGACCTCTAGCAGCGTCACCGCTGCAGCAGCAGCAGGTAACTGCAGCTCTGCAGACACCTCAGGCCTCGCCAGCACCAAACTCAACATCACAGCAACAATTGCCAAGTTTATCTGTAAAGACATGCGACCCTACAAAGTGGTTGAAAATCCGGGGTTCTGTGAATTGATCCAGTAAAGTTACTGAATTGATTTCAAGTCACTGAATCGAATTGTTCTAAATTAACCCAGATCGTCCATGAATCGAATCGGCAACCATGAATCGCGATTCGAATCGAAGTTAAAATTAATCGTTACACCCCTAGTAACGTGTCAATTTTTGCATGTTGTAATGGAAAAGTTTCATTAAAAAAGGCCTTCAACGTGAGGACAGTGACAATCCAAATAGAATTTTACTTTAATAGAGTGAAACAAAAGTTCCCAACTCGTCATGTCTTTAGTTGTCTAGAGGTTAAGCAGACTTGCAAAACTGCAGGAACATTTGCATTTTTAGTTTTAATTCAACAAACTGCCTAAATCTTCCATTTAAATATGCAAAAACAGGTAACAAAAGAAAGTTAACAAGATATTCTCAATATCAAATCTGCCAAGGATATCAAATTTGAAGAAGAAAAAGAAAGCTGTCGTACCTGGATAGGGGAAGGTTTCTCCCAACCCATCTCAAAGATGCCCATCAGGAGTTCCCTTTTGAGACAGTAATCTTCAAACTCATTCCCCTTGGTGGACGTGACATCCTGCAGTACACACAGCGAAGGGTGAGCATGACGGCACAACACTGCATTCAAATTCACTAAGATTACCTAGTTGGACTCACTGAGGTTTTGACCCGGTTGTCTCTGGGTGGGAGCTTTAGGCTTTTTTTCCAGTCGTCTCCAAACTTGATGCCTCCTCCGTCCTGAGCAGCACCACCTGCTAGCTTGGCTGCACCCAAAGCCTTTGCTTGAGTTGTGGGTGCTGGCTGGACTGAAGCGGGTTTGGTCTGTCCTCTGAGCTGCCCGTTCTGCTTGTTCAGTCCCATGATGACGGGGCCAACGTTTTCTGTTCTGGCGGTGGCCATTTTGTCCCGTTGTCCTTTTCTTTTTATTCAAAAGTATTAGATTTTTGCCTCTTAGGTTTTTCTTTTTAAAAATTCTCTTTAAAAGTAAAAAAGTTTAATAAAGCATTAACAAACAATATTCTCTATTCTTTTTAAGTCCAAAGCTTTCACAACTGAAGTCAATTGGTAGTATTTACATATACACATGTACGTGTAGTTCGGTCCCCTTCAACAAGAGTGACTGACGTACAGGAACAAAAAAAAAAAAACGTTTTTACACAAGAGCTCTTCAAAATGAAGAGAAATTTGCATCCATATGCATGTATATACTTGCCCACAATATAGAAAAATTATATGTGAACAAGTATCAAAAGCGGTCCAAGTCCTGAAATAGAACAACTAAGGCAATCTGAACTTGGGGAACAGCCTCTTCGATATAATCTTAGTTCAATGCTTAAATTTCTGTTTCTAAATTGAGCATTTCTTCTTTCCACTTTGAGTCCATAGATTTGCTCAATATCCCTGTTCTTCCAAAAAAAGGATATCCAACTTTGTACACGTTTTCCGCCAATAACATATAGTCTGTGATGCTCTACGTTTGGTTCCACTGTGTGTGGATATGTCGCTCCACTGCGTGAAAAGAATCCTGGATTCACAAATACAAACGGGGTTTCTAGTCCAAAGCCAAACAGCTTTTCACCCCTTTTGAGTCCTCAGTGTGCGTTTCCCTTCTCCTCTGGGTGTTCAGCCCTCTCTCCACGACACCGCCGGTCTTCGGGTTGGTGTGTGAAGTGTGTGCGAGTGCGGCTGCGATCAACCCGCTACCTCCTCAAAGTCAGCCAACAACTCAAACCTGTAACCTAAAACAAACACAGAAAGATAAACATACAACCCAAAATAGCAGGGGAAAAAAACCTGGGAGTCTTGCCCCAAAGGTTGGGCTGGGAAGCCGTAACCGAGTCAATATTAAGAATTCACGTTTCACTTCGACAATGAAAGCATCGATGTTGCAATTGTGATAAACACTACCTCGCAGAACTCGGTGAAAGACTACAGCGGTTAATTCGCCAATTGCACAGGTGAACTTAACAGGTGTAACGTTCAATCTTCTGAGGCCAATTAGCGAAGCCCAAACAGTTTTTTTTAAATAAAACGACTCTACGTCTGACGGAGTTACAGTATATATCAATTTATTCAATTATTCTAATTGACTGAATTGACTATAATTGGCGGTTTGTGTCGTTCGCGTTTTCCCTTTAGATGACCGTCATCTTGTTGTCGTTTATCCTTCCTACATATTTTATGTATTAACGTTACTATGAACACTTATAGCTATTAACTTTGCTTCATTCCGACCAACTGTGTAGCTTTGCTAGGTTGTACTAATTTCCCTCAGTAAAATCCATGACTTAACGTCACCTTAAAGCTGTGACTGAAGTGAAAAAACATTGGCGTTGTTAGGCTAACGGTCCTGAGGCTAAGCTAGGGTTAGCACTTAGCTAAATCATTAAGCTGTTCAACACCTGCAGAGATTCAATGAGCTCTTAATTAAGACACATGAGTATGGGGAGTATAGGGAATAATGCATCGCCGTAACATTCTGTTTTATTTAATTGTTAACATAATATATGACACAATTAGCAAGATCGTTGGCATTAGGGCTAATTTAGCACTAAACTCCACTCGCTAACGTTAGCTGGCTACGTGCTAGCGAGCTCTCAGCAGCTCGGATGTTTTTAACGGAAATTGGACGGTTTCGTATACAGCAAACCTACCTTAGTTTCTCTGTTATTTCTATAAGGTATATTTGGTGTGCAGTTGATCAACTACTTCTTTTACAATTCGCTTTATGAACTGATTTTTACTTGAAATAAATCTCCTCTATTGTGTTTCTTCTTCCTTTAAATCAACATGGTCGCCTTCTTCTTCGTCTTCTCTTCCTCGGTGCCTCTTTCCAGTTCGTACACGTGACACTATACAAAGCTACTGCCGCCTGCTGTCACACACGGTTACTGCACAGGAAATTACCGTCCGTCAATGGTACATATCAAAAGAAATGTTTGTTTTCATGGCAGTCTTCTCAATATAATACAAGTCTGACGAAAACTGTTATTTCCAGAGATATTATTAAATAGTAACTTTTCTACGTCAATTTTGATGAAACGGGTGGTAAAAGCATGTAGACACCGCACGTGAAGCCATGGCGCGGTGACGTTTACAACGTCGTCATTTCTACATCCAATCACATTTCATCACACATTTCTCTGAGCCAATCACCTAATCTCATTTTAGTGCTGCACAACTTTGTGTTTGGTTGTTGCTGTTCGGTGTTGCCATCTCCAAACCATGTCCCAAACATGTCAATGAAGTTCCAATTTGAAGAAGATCGTAATAGTTTTCCTATTCACCAAGATGAGTAACGTTTGTAGAGAGGTCGTCACTCTTCAGTTGGGGCATTATTCCAACTTTGTTGGAACTCACTGGTGGAATTTACAGGTAAGCGGCTAACGCTAAGCTAGCTAACGTTAGCCTTGCATGTGTTGTCAAACTTGTAGCTGCACCGAGCGGCACAGAGAGCTTCACATCAGCAGCAGCGTGAATACGCCTTGATACGCGATGGAGCTGCCCCGTAAAGATGACGGACGACATCGGCGTTTACGATGCTGAAAGCTGCTATCGAGCCTGAAGGCAGCAGTATATTTGTGATCAAATTAGTATACTCTTTATTTTAGAGCGAACTTGTCTCTTATGGTCGAGGATACAGATCACGTGCTAATTTAAAACCTGGTTGTATAAATAACGCCTCTGTTGAAATGGTGAAGCTGATGAAGAGTTACTCTGTCAGTCAACATCTCTGAGCCTCCTGCATCCTGCAGAGGATGTCGTCTCATACCTTCTCGTATACATTGTACTTTATAGTACAACAGATATCATATTTCATGCACCATCATACTTCTACTGTTAGTCCACTAAATATTGTACTTTCTCACTAACCGTTAATCTTTCTGTGAAGTCACTACACACTTGATATTAGAAAATGACTTTGATTATGTTCACAGTTCTGAATGCGTATTTTGTACTGAAGTAAAAGTTAAAAATACTTTCTGATTTAAATGTTTTGATGCTGATACAAAGAAGAATATATATATATATATATATATATATATATATATATATATATATATATATATATATATATATATTTATTATTATATTTAGTTTATTCAATTAGGTTAGTACTACTATTACTAGTTTAGTCATTTAGTTTAATTAAATGTATTATTACTATGACAGGGAAATGACAGCAGACTTGTATTTGCATGCAGGATGCTTCTTTATCATACGACCCAGAGACGCCACCGAGTGAGATCCAGAGCGATGTCCTGTTTCGTGAAGGACAGACTCCGGGTGGACATGTCACCCACACGCCGCGCCTCATCGCCATGGATCTCAAAGGTAACTTCTCCCCGTTGAAGGCGTTTTTCTGAATGTCGCCAACGTTGGACCGCGCTGGAGCAGCTTTGTATTTCTGTTGTGACACTAATGTCCTTTTGTGTACTAGTTTGATTACATAATACATATTTTCATCATTTGGGTTTCTGGGCTGGACACGGGTCAATTTGGTAACTCGTGTCTAATGCTGAGTCACCTGACCGCCTCACTCTGTCTCTAACAGGAAGTCTGCGGACTCTACGGCAGGAGGGAAATCTATATGACGCCGGCACAGACACCTCCGCTGCCACATGGTCAGTAACATCCTTTATTCAAGGGCCCAACAGATTTATGTGTAAACAGTATTTGTGATTTTTTTCGACCGATGTTCACCTGAATCTTTCTGTTCCAAATTTGCGTAATGAAAAACTAACTATTTAATGAATGAAACCTACAATGATACACATTGACCTACATTAATTGACATAGCCATTAATAAAGGATTTTGTGACTATTTTTAAAACCAGAAGTCTCTGTTTGGACCATTCCTAGTCTCTTTTGATGTTAAAAAATCGTTCTCCATCCGACAGGGAGGGAAGCCTCATGATGCACAAAGAAAGTCCACCTCAGAAGAACTCCTTCCTGGAAGATCTGGACAGGATGGATGTGAGTGTTTCTGGTGCAAACTATACGTACAATTTTCCTTCAAAATATTGTCTTGACTTTTATTAATTGATTGTATGAGAAAGTTATTCATTGCTACTTTAGATGTTGGTGTTCATTTTATATTTTCATTGCCACTACAACAGTAGTTTATTCTCTATTGTAGGGGCTTAGTGTATTACCTTCGTAGAAACAATTATTGTGAATCTTTTTTACCAGAAAGGAGAGATCCTTGCTCAAGATGATTTTTATTCCAGTCCCCGGCCTCACTGTTCAGGTAGGGAAACCTTCTTTAAAAACCCTGCACGGTATACGCACGATTTAGTGTCACACCAAGCAGCAATCACTCTAGAGCGCCACCCTCCCAGCAGGCGCAGTGAGTGTGGACACTGTGAACAGCCAGCTGGCTCGTGTCCAAAAAGGCTACCGGCTGGAGGGCAGCGTGAAGGTGTGGTCCGACTTCCTCAGGATCCACCTGCACCCTCGATCCGTCTCCGTCATCCACCAGTACAACCATGACGGGTAGGGGCAACCTCCTGCTCTCCTGCACGCCAATGAGCAAAACGAGGCCTTTCCCCGTGCAGTACCTTCTTCTCTCCAGTAGATGTCTTTACACTGAGTTGTGCTTCAATCACAGGCAGGCGAGGGTCATGTACTGATATAATGCAACGCAGCCATGCTACGGCCCATAGCCTCGGGTCCTGGCTGAGTTAGCTTAGATGTCCTACGCCTCCTCCCCGGGGCCGTTTGGTACAGAAGACCTTGCTGGTTGTAGCAGATTCATGAGTGCTGCTGGCCGCAGTGCTTAACTGCGTCCTCGTTGCATAGCCTGTTGTTCTTCCTTCCCGCCCCCCAAACAGTGATGTCTCTTATTTGTGTGCAGCGAGGCTCACCGTCTGGAGACTTTTGGTCAGGGAGAAGGTCTCTTGCAGGGGCCGCTGCTGGAGCAGCTAGAGGACAAACTGCACTTCTTTGTAGAGGAGTGTGATTACCTTCAGGTAAGTCTTTTTACCATATACCAAACTTATAATGGCTCTTATCTATAGCGAGTTGTAAATCGGCTTATTTAAGGAAATTGCACTTTGTGGTTCTTTTGAGTTTGTATCCTTATGGTTGAAATGCACTTATTGTAAGTCGCTTTGGATAAAAGCGTCAGCTAAATGACATGTGATACTGTGCTCTATTATATCAAACAGATTTCGTCTTCCCAGGTGTAAAACGCGTGCTGTTTCAATCTCAGGGTTTCCAGGTGTTCTGTGACCTGGCCGATGGCTTTGCCGGCCTGGGGTCAAAGGTCACGGAGATGCTGCAGGACTCCTATGGCGGGAGGGGCATCCTGACTTGGGGGTTGGCGCCTGTCAGCCACCCGGACACGGTGAGTCATGGAACGCCAGTAGGAGCAGAAGCAGATGTTGCGGAAATGGGTTTCTGTACCCGTTGTGTTGTTGCCGCTCCGCCAGACGCCGATGAAGGAGCTCTACCACGTGTTGAACTGCGCGTTGGGGACGGTCAACATGGCCGCCAACAGCTCCTTCTTCTGCCCGCTGACGCTGCGGGGTGGACTGGGGAGACGGCCCTCATCGCCCGTCGCTTTCCCCCACCTAAATTATGATGTGAGCTCCTATTTGAAATCCTTTATTATAATAACAATAAATATTAATATTATCAAAGATGCGTTTAACAGTAATTGAACTTATCTCTAATTTCTGCGCCTTATTTTGACATTTTCTATTGACTTTCTTTCCATAAGATAATGACGGTGGTCTGTGTTCCCCTCCCAGCCCTCTCTGTGGTATCACTCCAGCTCCGTGCTGGCTCTGGCCCTCGATGCCCTCACCCTGCCTTACAGGCTGAAGGACGGCGCCCCCATGTGGCAGATGGCGGACACGCTGGCCGTGTCCGGCAGAAAGGTGACCTCCTGCTGCTGGAGGAGCCGCACTGTCCGCTCCGTTCAAAGAGAGAGGCGTCTGATCTCACAATGTGGTTTGATAGGTGGTGGCCGCTTACGGCGCCGTGCCCTTTCCCATGATGCACGGCGCCGCTCTCCCCGACGCCCTCAGCGCCTGCGCGGACGCGTTGCCCTGGAAGCCTCTCTCGGCTTGCCCTGAACCCGGCGACGGCCGTTGCTACGGCCAGTTGGTGACACTCAGAGGCTTCGAGGGGCAGAGACTCACCAGGTGAGACGTTTCTGTACACATTATTCATTTACTTCACTTTCACCTTTTACAATCTTCCTTTTAATTCATTCATACCCTCCTCCCCGTGTCGGCCCTAATTATTATCACTTCGGACTTGTGCTTTTTTTTTTGGTTAACACGGGTTCCTGGCTGCTTTGGATTTGACTCTGATTATATGCGAGTTTATGCTTTAAAAAAAGATGAAAGCATGAGGAAGAAGAACAGTTAAGCTTAAAACCGTTGAGTCTACACATTTATAGAGTGTACAGAAATGATTGAGGATTAATAAGGAAATAGGCATCGAACGGCTCCCCTTTCCTTACTGTGTAACTCCTTTCCCTTCCATCAGCTCTCTGGCTCCAGGGACCCAGCCAGCCACTCCTCTGCACGACCTTCACAGAGGCGAGGACGTCCTGGAGTCCTACGTCAGGTCCTTCTACCCCAGGTCCCCCCTGTGAGTCCCCAAACCGTCACCAATCAATCATCGTACTGGTTTAGAGCCCATTTGAACCCACCGCTCGTCTCTTCAGGGCGCTGCAGCTGGTATCTACACCCAGTGCGCTGACGCCGCCGTTCCCACAGATATTCAGTCACTTCCTTGGTCCTCGGGGCTTCCTGCAGAGCCAGCCTCTTCCTCCTGGCAGTGAGTTCCATTTTTATTTAGTTTTCAGCTGGAAAATCGTCTTTTTCTACATGTGTTTCTTAATAAACTGCAGGCCGGGCGGTCTCCCTGGCGCCCGTCATGACGTCCCTCCAGTCGGGTCCCGCTGTCGGCTCGTGGCTGTCCCAGCTGCACAGCGGCGCCGGCGCTCTGGACATCCGCCGCTCGGCCCCCAGCTTCCTCTCGCAGGGGCCTGAAATGTCGGACTACAAGGACGCGCTGGAGGAGCTGCGCCTGCTGGGCCGCTGCTACCGCGACGGGACGATGTGCTCCTCCTCCTCCTCAGAAGACAACGATGACTGACACTGGCAGACTGCTGACGGCACGCACTCATTCAGAGCGGCGAGGAGCTGCTGCTGGATGAAGGAACCGGGCCGAAGACGTGCTAAGAAGAGCGCTACATGTGACCCACTCAGTGAGGGGATGGCGGAAGCATTACGCCACTTTTGTTCCGTGTCCTCAGATTACTATTTACCTGCAAAAAATGTTATACTAAGAATCTGCTATAAAATGGTTTCATTTGCAGTAAATAGCACAGCGGTTGTTTGTAAAGGTTATTGTACTAGACAGACAGATGGGGGGTCAGTTTAAAGTCAGGACACCTTCCGATCAGCTGCTCTGATGACATTGAACATCTTGCAGCTGCAGAAAGTATAACTTTGGCCAAAGCGTGCACTTGTTGATGGGCAACCATGCATTGTAAATAGTTTGGTGATCATATGAATTAAATGGTTTTTCCATCGTCATTTGCTTTGGATGCAACCCAGCTAAGACTAATGCGTTACTAGTTCCAAACCAGTAATCAGATTAAAGTTACTTGTCCCGTGCGTTACCATTTTGTCATTAATAGTAAAATATATATTTGATTTGTTCTTGCGTCTCTGGGAGTGAAGTCATGTGTATGTACACAATGAAAGAGAGATGCGCATCTTGGAGTTTGAAATACAATCACTAATTTGAGTATTTGTCAGCTACAGATGGTTCGTTGTACACACTTGTACACTGTGCTGGTGGCGACAAAGTGCTATCAAGCTACAAAAACATGTCAAATTTGAAGAAACCGCAAATCCCACAAGACGGTTCCCCACCACCCAAATAACAGCAGGACTTTGGTCCAAAACCAGTAAGTGGGGGAGTTGCAGACGTTGGTCGGGCAGCATGTTGTAGAGGAAACGCTGCCCGTAAACACGGCTGACTCGCCCTTGTTTCGTGCCATAATAAACACGATCAGTGATGGAGATAAATCTGACGTCCGTGCTGAATTAGGTGGATATTATATATGGACCGCTAATAGGAGTAACGCTCCACTGGATCAGTAGATCCACATTAGAGCTGCATTAGCATGTGGGAGAATTCGCAGTAGACACGTAGGTTATTGGTGCAGAAAGCGAAAGCCTTCACCGTACAACAGTCTACTCATAACGTATTAGGCCAAAGTTACAAATGTAGACCTGATATCCGCCTACAAGTGACGTTACACCTCCTTGCTTCTCCAATGCTGTCAACTGGTACAATGTTCATAAAACATGTTGAAAAGAATTTAAGTTACATAAACAATGTAGATCATAAATAGTACGTTTGGCCATTAGTCTTTGAGCTGACATTCAACTTTAGTATTTTTTTTCCAAATAGTTTAAGGCGAACTTAAAATATCAGGAGATACATTACTGTTAAAATGCACTTCTAATGAAGTAGAGTTGGCAAAACCGGTTTTCATTTTCATGTTGAGGCAGCGGGGGTGTCGGCAGCTACTGAATACATTTTAATCTAACCTAAAGTTACTTTTTAAAAGGAGTAATCAAATTAAATTGTGGCAACACGGATATACAGTTCAATTATCTCATTAAGTCAAACAATCATACATTTGATATTTTGAAGGATTTCAACAACTCTCAGGTTTTGTGTTCTGCCTGAAGCCCATTCAGCCCAATGCTTTAAATGTCAGAAGAAGTCTTTGAGACGCTTTTCTGCCTCAGATTGACATTTGGAATCAAGACCAAACCTTGCTGCTTAATACAAAAACCCAAAGACACAAGTATAACAGGTGTTTTTAATCTGAAATAAAATGATACAAGGATTCACAAAAAGGTGACAGTCCCACCCGGCATTTTGACTAAACAGTATGCTTCTACAATTGATTAAAAAAGACACGCACCACACCATCATTTAAACTTATAAAACTGAGATTTGCACTCTGTTTTTTGACATACACCCCATACAAGACCGCCTCCAATGAAAAAAATATTGCAGAGAAAAATTCAATTGAAAGGGAAGTGGCTTGTGGCATAAAAAGACAGACGGAGTGCCCTGGTCATCTTACGCCTAATTTATCAAAAAACGGGAAGGGGGGGATCAGGGGGGGGGGGTAGATGGGGAATGTCGGGCGGGCGGAGACACTGGGACGAATACTCAAGACAAAACAGTCCAAAGTTGGAACTATGAGCGAGAACGGGAGCGGGAACGAGACTGGGAGCGGGATTTGGAGCGGGACTCGGAGCGGGAGGCGGAGCGGGAATGGGCTTTGGCGGGGGAGGGGGAACGGGATTTGGACTTTGATTTAGACCGGGCTCTGGCTTTGGATTCAGCGGGGGAGCGGGAACGAGAACGGGAGCCCCGCTCGGCCTCGCCTCCCTCGTCTTCGCTCTTGGGTGGCTCGCGGCCCTTTGAGCCGGATTTCCTGGAGCGATCCTTCATCCCGGATCTGGAACGAGACCTGGAGCGAGAGCGAGAACGAGACCTGGACTCATCCTTCTTGTTCTTCTTCCCGTCTTTCTTGCCCTTTTTACTCCTGAGGCTGCAGCTCTTGGGACTCCGGCTTTTAGGGCTGCGGCTCTTGAGAGCTCCTGCTCTTGGAGCTGCGGCTCCTGCTGCGCTCCTTCTTCGGGGCGCCGTTGCTCCGCTCTTCCTCCTCCTTCTTGCCCTTGATCTTGTTCTTCTTGCTACGGGATCGGCTGCGGGAGTGGGACGCCGCTCTGTTGACAAAACCAGGTAGAATTGTTTGACGTTTTCCCCGTTAAACATTCAGCCACGTGACCGACCACGTGGCCACGACCTGCTGCCTCAAACAGCCGTAGCCATCAGGCTTCTACTTGCACCGCCATGGACATCTATTCAAAGAAATATCCGCATCTCACTAACTGGGGCACCAACGTCTTTGATTGAGAGATTGGCTGTTTGTGTCTTCTGTACAATAATAATCCAAGTTTCCTCCATTTATCGACTGCTTGATGCCATCTTTTAACCAAATATCCCCTCCCAGCAGTTCGGACTCTCACCTGGAGCGGGAGCGGCTGCGACTGCTGCTGTCACTGCGGCTGCGACTCTTTCGAGACCTGCGGCTCCTGGAGCGAGACCTGAGAACACACGTGGCAGCAATAAGAAAAAGAACCCCTGAGGTAGCAGGCCAACTGCAGAAAGCAACGCATGGCGCTGTATCGGTCGATTAAATGCTAATGTATACGATTCCTCTACTGACACGCTCAGAAACATCAACATGCACCAGTGAGCCGTGTGAAATTACCTGGAATGGCTGCGACTGCGAGAATATGAGCGCTTGCGTCTGGCCCCGGGGCGGTCCTCGATCAGCCGGATCTTTCTGCCGTTCACTTCGGTGCCGTCGAGCTTCTCCAGTGCCCTCTTCATGTCCGAGTAGAGCCTGAACTCGATCACCCCCTCATTCCTCCTGCCCTTATGGGTGTCTGCATAAGTCACCTCCCCTGCCTGCCTCATGTAGTCCTTCAGAGAAGAAACAAGGAGATTTAATTTCAGTGCATTTTCTTTGTCTGATACATAATCAACTGAAGGATTTCCAGCAAACGGTGTGTGTGTGTGTGTACATCACGTTTAGATTTTTTACTATGGAGTTCTAAAAACAATTTCAGTGCACTACTTAATGGATTTTTACATTCCATCTGTAGAATAAAAATTAAAGCCAAGGATTCATACCTTCAAGTCCTGCCAGCTGCAGCGGCTGGAAAGATTCTCAACAATGAGCCGATAATCAGTTCTTATGGGCGGACCGTATCGGTCTCTTCCCCAGCGGCCGTATCCACCTTTCAAGGCAACAAGGAAAGGGCAGAAAAAATGAGGCCCAAAACGAATCTGTTGTAGTGCATTAATACTGAACTCCAAGCTAAAGACTACAAAATATATGAATATTCACTTTGGGGGGAAAAGAAATAAGGGGAAAAAGAAAAAAAAGGTGTCAAAGAAAAAATATATATTTCTACAAAAAAAATGTATTACAAAGCCTAAACCTAACACGTTAGTAGCTTATAAAATTTTGATTTAAAAAAGTGTCTATTGCCTTTTTCCTAAATAAGAACAGAAAACATCTGATCAAGGAAGTACTTACGGTGAACTAAAGCAAGCTATCTTATCTAACATCATTCACTGTTACAAAACAAGTTCTTTTTTTTCAGGCACCTATAAGAGCTGAACCCACATCTGATCCTAACCCCCATGGCATCCTCACCACCCGGCCTGGGCCTAATGGGAAAAGCGGTCTTCATTCACAATGGCTCCCTTTTTTGGTCTGCCCAGGGGCCCAGAATGGTCAAACCACACTCTTGGAAAGGGGGGACACCATGGCCAGCAATAGGGGCAGGCAGTCAGCAAAGGACTCTTTCAATTAAAACATTGAGGTTCTTTGTTAAATCTTTACCTTTAAAATTGACAATCATTTTAAATAAAATAAAGTAATACATCAATAATTTACAGAATATTTAGCAATCAAGTACTAAGTTTACAATATTTTAAGACATTTATAGCCTTTCCATCATTAAGCCACTTCCCCATCACATATCACTTCATTTTCAAAAATCGATCAAATTGTTACTCAAGAAATCGTTTAAGTCATTGGTGGCTACGGTGCACACAAATTTGACAGTCAAATGTGGAAATCTCTAAGGCCCCCTGAACTAAAGAGGGCTGTAATGAGCACTAGAACTCTTATTAGCAGCACAATAAAAACAGGTCAATATATTTCTATCGCAAAATCAGACAACTAAGACAACTAAAATGAAAACAGTTACACTGACATCAGTAGAGTTCACTTATAAAGGAGATGAGGTACGACTACAGCTGGGTGAACCATTACAGTTTACACTTCTCCAATGAATTCTCTACATTTATATTCCTGTTTCATACAAACCTTTGCTAAACATTTTACAAAATTGGGAAAGCATTGCTTACAACGAGCCTAATGTTGCCTTAAAAAAGTTCACCTCCACACAGGCATTTAAAACATAATGGATCAGCACTGAAAACACTATAGCACTTAATCCACTATGATCAGAGGGTCGACCCTCAGGACATGAACATAAATTGAAAGCACATAAGCCACCAAGGACTTAAAATGTAATTTAGATCAATGACTCCCTGTAATGAATGAAACCCCTCATCATACGACATCCATGTTAAAGAAATAATTCTTCACTGAACACTTACTTCTTCCACCACCCCCGCTGCCGCCGCCACCACCTCCACCTCCTCCTCCACCACCACCACCACCTCCTCCTCCGCCACTGCTGCTGCCGCCTCCGCCGCCTCCACTACCACCATAACCTCCATCCCGGCGTGGTCCTTTGGTGTGCTCCACAATGACCCTCTCCCCACATAACTCCTTGCCGTTCAAGTCATACACAGCATCATCTGCATCACGTGGGTCATCAAATTCAACAAACCCATACCTTTATAAAAGAAGAGAACATGTTAAGACCTGGCGACTACTACGGATTGGGATGTTCATAATCGAAAACACAGAATTGGCATATGTGATTGATGTGTGTAGTGACATTTACAACTCAACCACGATTAACTCCCATTTTCCATACAGGGACCTGGTTACAGATCTCATTCACAGGTGCGGTTAGGAAATTCTAAGGAAAAATATAGGTGTTCCATGCTGGTTAGTTGGCTAAACAATGACTATGTGAAGCTCAAATATCCTGTGGATGTGTAGATTATTGCCAGTCTGACGTTAATGCAAGGAAGTGCAAATGTGAAGTTGATTAATCGATTGAATAAAAAACCCTGCAAATTCTTAAAATAAATGCCGATTTTAATTCTCACATTTTAAAATGCTAATTCTGTTTTAAACATGCATGTCATAAACGTTAGGAAAACACATTAGAATGTACTGCAACATTTGCTGAAATATATAAAATATTGGGTAATGCTCTGAATTGCATAAATAAACAAATGTTTAAAAAAAGGAACAGAAATGTCTAGAGACCGTATATGGTGGTCGAATTAGGTCCGAAACCTGACGCAGAGCTTGATATCCGTGTGTATTTGTCTATGCGTGCAGAGCTAGTAGCTGCTGCCATTCCGTGTCCACAGCAAATAATGCTCTGCTGAACAAAGAAGTTTCACCCCGACGCCGTGAGGCGCAATTGGAACTACGGATCGTGGCTATTTGCACAGCCCTATTTTCGCCAGACTGCACGTTCAAAGCAGAAAGCAGATCCAATTTAAAGTGTAAACGATTGTGACTAAATTTGCACTCGTTTAACGGAGGTTTTTGCTTGCAATACACGCGACTGCCTGTGACATTGCCACGTCTAACCTTAGCTAACGTTAGCTCGTTAGCACATGTCGCGATTTCCAAAAAGCACCGACACATATTAGTACGGCTATTTAAAAAAGCAAGCATTAGGCAACACTAAGACCTCGGGGTGTCGCGGTAAATTACATCGTCGGCTGTTTTCATATATACATCAAAATTACCAGGTAGCTAGTTAGCATTAGCATGGTGCAGAAAATATGAAGGCCCAGAGAGCATGCAACCGTTGCTGTGCGGCCTGTGCGGCTCCACCAACAACGGACATCGATAAAGAGCCTCAACGTTACCCGTTTTTCAGGTCGACCTCGAGTATCTTCCCGTAGCCTTTAAAGAATCTCTCCACGTCCTTTTCTCTGGCCCTGTAGCTCAGTCTTCCGATGTACACCCTCGACATCGTGTTAGCCTGCGCGTGCTAACCTTGCGAAATGTGGGATCCGGCTCAAACCGAACGAGGGCAGAGATGAGGCGCGAGACTGCAGAGACACATACACGCGCTCCTTTGATACAACAGGTCGCGGGCAGGGGGGGCGTGGTCTGGCTATGTTGGTTTTAACTGACCTGGGTTCAGTCTCGCAGGGGTTTACCAATCAGTACCGAGTGAGGCCGTTTAAACTTGTAAATTTGTATGGATTATAAATCCATTCCGAAATGAAATAGTCGGGATAGGGACTAATTTTACTTTTGACACTTCTTTATTGTGTTTAGTTTACTGCTGAAGCTGGTAAAAGTGGGTTCATTTTCACCAATTAATGTACATCATGGTTAGCGTGTGAATTTCCCCACGGAAATCAATTAAATGAAATCTTCCTAACATTACATCATATTTAAGTTGTTGAGTATTATGTTAATTAATTCTTGTAATGTATTCTAAAACGTGCAATAAATAACCGTCTGGTCTAATGACCGGACCGGAAGTCAATGATGTGTAGTAACAATACTACATTAACCTCTTAATTGGCGTAGAACTACAAGGTAGTAGATGTAGCAGTGGGTAATACAGGTACATAACATGTAATTGAGTAGATTTACTTAGTTGACATAAATATTTCCATCACAACATGTTAAGGGCTGGACAGAAAACACATTATTGTTTCATATTTCATGTGGAAAGTACCGACGGACGACTCAAATAATCGACTAAACGTGCCGGGTTTATTATCGAACATGCGCTGTGCGCTTTACAAGTTTAAATAACCTACACACACCGGGTGGGCGGTGCTAACCACTATCCGGACAGAGGGGATAACTACAGAAACACCAGCTGCTGCCTTATTTCGTCGCTTATTTACACATCTTTCTCCCTGAATTCATGGCCGCTCCTCCGTCATGTCCGCTCCTCGAGTGAGTTGAGACCACAAGCTGACCGGTAAACGTGTCGGTAACGTTTCTCTTCAACGGCCTTGTCTCCGCGGCGGGCAGATAACGGTTCAGGACGTTAGCCCAATGTAGGCTAAACAGCAACAGGTCGGTTGGTTGGTCAACTAGACAAAACAAAAAACAAGCCGAAAAAGAAACTGTCATGGAGGGCGCGACTTTTTCAAAGTACTCCTGGATCGACTTCGTCTTCTCTGTGATCGGAGCGTGCACCTTCCTGGTGGACTGGGGCTCGGACGTGTGGTTGGCCGCGGAGTTTTACCGCCGCGGGGACGTGACCTGGTTCTGGGTGCTGGTCGGCCTCATGGCCCTGTCGTCCTTCGTGGTCCAGACGTTCAGCTGGTTCTGGTTCCAGTACGACCGAGAGCTGCCGGGGTTCCGCGCGCAGACCGAGGCGGCGGCCGTGCTCCTCGGGGACCGGGCGAAGCTCTCGTGCGCGGTGCACGTGCTGCAGCTGGGCTTCCTTTGCAGGTAGAGCGACGCGCGCGCGGCCGTTAGTAAAGCCGCTATAGCGCCGCGTGTCGTCATCTCTTTGTTTTTATTGTGGGAAACATACAGTCACCAAGTTCATGTGTACACGAGTTAGACTGCAATGACTCACCTGGTGAGTTAATAACGTAATAAAACATGTTACATGAATGGTGTGTGGGTGTGTGTGTGTGTGTGTGGAAGGAATTGATCTATTCACCAGTAAATAAGAAAACCTGGATATTCCGACTGAGCACATAGCTGATAACATTTGCACGGTGATGTGACCATGCATAACGATTACTGTCGAAACAGTGACATGAAGACGTGTGGTACTGAGGTGTGAACGGGACAAAAGAGCCTATATTACTCATGCCACTTTACGACGTTTAGCTGGAATGGGGTTTGGTATGTGAAGCAGTTTTATCACATTCTGCGGGTCACTCTTTGTTAACTACCCATTTCTTTGCACGCAGGCACATCTCCGCCATACGACAGGGCTTCCGGGTGTGGTGGCGCAAGGAGAAGGGGTCGGAGTACGCCATATACCAGACGCACGACCTCAGCATGCTGCGGCTCATCGAGACGTTCAGCGAGAGCGCCCCTCAGCTCACCCTCATGATCTACGTCATGCTGCACACGCACAAGGCCAGGGCGGTTCAGTGTGAGTTCCCTTTGGGGGGGGGGGGGTTGATAAACATCACTCCTACTCGGGTTGCTACATCGATGGTGTAACTTCCACCCTTTTTTTGTCTGCAGTCGTGAGCATCGCTGCGTCGACCACTTCCATCGCTTGGATGGTGGTGGATTACCACCGCTCCCTGCGCTCCTTCCTCCCGGACAAGGCCAAGCAGGGCTGGGGCTCCTCTTTGATCTACTTCCTGTGGAACCTGCTGCTGATCGCCCCGCGCGTGGCCGCCCTCGCCCTGTGCGCCTCGGTGCTGTCCGGGTACATGGCCGCCCACTTCCTGATGCTGTGGTCGGCGTTCGCACTGTGGGCCTGGCGACAGGGGACGCACTTCATGGACAGCGTCGCCGGGGAGTGGCTGTACCGGGCCACCGTGGGGCTCATCTGGTACTTCAGCTGGTTCAACGTGAAGGACGGTCAGACCCGAAGCCGGAGCGCCATCTACCATTCCTTCATCAGCACCGACGGAGCGATCCTGCTGGCGACGTGGTGGTGCCACAGGGACCCTGTGCAGACGCAGTCGTACGCCCTCGCTCTGCTCATCGCCCTGCCTCTCTTCCACTTCCTTGGTCTGCTCTTCAAGGCCCTCTACTACTGCTGCTTCCACCCCAAGCTGTGGAGGCCCCCGGCGAGGGACCCAGGGCTCCCCAATGATCTGCCCGATGCGCAGGTGTCCATGAGAGACTTTCCCATCCAGGACGGCGGCCTGTCCCCCAAGCTCCTCAACAAGCGGATGGCCGGCCAGGTCGCCCGTTTCTACTCAGATGAATGATTCTTTAGGAGCTCCAGTAACACAAATGGAGCCTGCGATGTCAAATGTTTACTCACTGATACGGTTTGCCTTCTTTGGCTGTGATGGTCTGCAACAGTATATCTCTAGGCTGTTTCCTGTATCTCAATTACAGGCTGAAAAACAGCATTTTAACCCAAAGCAATATGGATTAAATGGTTCCCAATCAGTACACATATTGACACGTAGGATTGAGCAAATTCTCGGGGAGAACATTTTTACTAGAATATTTGTACTAATCCAGACACTTTATTATATTACTGCAACTCTACCAAAAATGCGCTACTTGAATTGTGCCACAATGTCCTAATATCACCACAAATATTAAAGAGGACGGTTTGAACTTTATTTAAAAAAACCTACTGTATGCATTGTCATATGTACAGAAACAGGGCAATTTGATCCATTTAAAGGGAAATTTAAAGCTATTTGAGACTTTTCTACGAAGCAAATAGTATTTTTTTATCTTTACACATGAAGTCATGTGGATAACTTTTTCATTCATAACCACATAGTCATATGGGTTTGTTGTTGCTTCTGTGTGAATGCCATGTATTTACAAACAAATAAATGAACAGAATAGTTCATCGATGTAGTTGAACCTTTACATTTGAATGACCAGTCTTGCATTTCTGAGGTATTTACACGATTGCAAGGGGTATTAAAACGTGTATGTGGTGTTTTTAGCGGGTTTTGTTGTTACAGCGGTTACTACTGGAGACTACTTGAAGGACTTTGAATGTAAAATGAACCCTTAGGTTCTGCTTTTAGCATTTCTATGTTCTGTGTGGAAAAGCTGCTTCACACCTCCAGACAGGTTGTTTGAATGTCAACTGAGAATTGTTACGATATTACAACAGAGTGGACATGATCCCTCTGGCTTCAGGTACAGAACCACCAGCGTTACTGCTGCTCGCTCGTCCACTGTTTGTTCAGTTTGTTTTTCCACCTCTTCCACTTCATTGTTTGCTTCTCTTTCAGGGTTCAAAGTGTTCAAAGTGGATCCACTTCTACCGGCTGTTAATGTTTTCCCTCATTTGCCACATCATTAAAGTTGTACTGTTGTACACATATTTGTGGTCTTTTCATGTGTTTTACAGTGGAGGTTCTTACTTTAAACGTTGCACTACCACTGAGCTTCGTTGTTGAAGTGGCAGCGCATGCTGTGATTTGTGTGTTTCCTCCCGGTACCCTCTCAAGCTGTTGCATAACCTTGAGGGAGTGGTTATGAGAATGGGACCGTTGCATACTTTCGGTTGGCTTCTTTTCCTCTTAACACGCGACAAGCTTCGTGTGCACTTAGTGTGGCTGTGTGGACTTCAGCTTGACAGGACGCCATGCGTTTGTTCAAGTACTCTCGCAGGGACTTCCTCCTCATTTGTCTGGGTCTCTTTTCCCTGCTGCTCGACATAGTGCTGGACATATACGCCGTCGTGTCTTTCTACCAGGAACGGGACTACGCCAGTCTGGGCATCCTGCTGCTGCTCCTGCTGGGCTCGTCCGTGCTCGGCCAGGCCTTCAGCTGGCTGTGGTACAGCTACGACGAGTCCGAGAGGAAAACCGAGGTGGAGAAGTGCGTGACGGAGAGGCAGCTCAAGCTGCTTCACGTGCTGCAGCTGGGAACCTACTTCAGGTAGTGTAAGCGGCGTACGCCGCCACCGCCTTTTTCATCTTTAAAACACCTCGGGCCGCATCGGAAGTCGGGTGTGAGTGCAGGAACACAGGACTTGTACCAGAGAAAAGTGGTGGAATCATTGGAATGTTTCATTCCCCTCTCCTCTAAATGTAGCTCATGGTGGAGGTTATTTTGGTATTATTTGTGTGTATTGTAGTTATTCCGTTGATGTCTTTCGGGGGCCACGGCACCCTTGTTGACAGACAATCCCATTTGATTGCAGAGCGCTTTGTTCAACATAACAACACTTGTTGACCCCCTCGACCTTTTGTCTCCCAGGCACGCAGATTTGGTGAAGGTGTATCTGTTCTCCTCAAAGGTCACAGACCCAGTTCTCACCGCCGTGTACATGAGCCACGACCTGAGCATGCTGCGGCTCATTGAGACGTTTTCGGAGAGCGCCCCTCAAGTCGTCCTCATGCTCGCCATCATCCTGCAGCGCGGCGAACTCGGCGCCGTCACAGGTGCGTTCTTCATGACAACGATCGGGCCTTTAAAAGGGGCCGTGCAGTCAAAGTCCAGAACCAGAACATGTGAGCTGCTTCCAAAATAGAGACACTGTTCTGTGGATCATCTTCTCATTCAGTTGTGACGCCAGCAGAAATATAAAGATGTATCTCTGAAAACATGGACAAATGAAAGCCAACACTATATGTACGGCTGAATACTAGTACACAACTAATGTGTATTTTATAATTTTGGTGTACTGGCCCTTTAACTGACAGAAATGCATCTTGAAGAGTCACAAAGGTTCAAAGTTTTTTTTTAAATTGTGATTTTACAAATGCAATTGTGTAGAAATATATTCACTAAAAACAAAGTGACTGATCCCCAATGACTCCTCCTCCTCTTCCTCCTCCTCCTCAGTGCTGAAGGCCCTCGGGTCGGCCTCCACCATGGCCTTCGGCGTGACCATGTACCACCGCTCGCTGCGCTCCTTCCTGCCCGAAAAGAAGCAGCAGCAGATGTCGTCGTCGGTGGTCTACTTCCTCTGGAACCTGCTCCTCATCTCGTCACGCCTCACCGCCCTCGCCCTCTTCGCCTCCGCGCTGCCCTGCTTCATCTTCGCCCACTTCTTGTCCTCCTGGGTGGTTCTGTGCTTCTTCGCGTGGCGATCTAAGACAGACCTCATGGACAGTCCTGGGGGGGAGCGGCTTTACCGAGCCACCGTGGGGCTCATTTGGTACTTCAACTGGTTCAACGTGGCGGAAGGGAGGACGAAGTACAGGACCCTGCTGTATCACGGCTACATGCTGGTCGACATCTCCCTCCTCTGCGGCCTGTGGGGCTGGCAGATGATCACAGAGCCTTATTCTGAAGTCGTCGGCATCGTCTGCGTTGTCGTCGCTTACATCCTCGGCCTGTTTTTGAAAATGCTTTATTACAAGTGCTACCATCCTAACATGGCCAAGGGGGAGCTGATAGGGGACTCCATTGAGACCACGATGTCCGCTGACGTGCCCGATTTCCTTATGTTCCTGGCCTCTATTGAGACCACGCGGTCCGGTGACGAGACCGATTCCCCTGTGCACCTTTCCTTTATTAAGACCACGCTGTCCGGTGACGAGACCGATTCCCCTGTGCACCAAGGCCACCTTATGGACCGCAGCGGGCCGAGTGAACCGGCACCCGTCACCAAAGGCTGCAATAAGAGAATGAGGAAGTTGGCCGAAAACTTCTACTCCTGACCTGCATCACATGACGCCCAGCGGACACGGAGGTCAGGCGGCATCACGCTGACCGAGCAGCCCGGCGAATGACCGTCTCGGGGTTTTGTGGGAAAGAATGACTGTGGCTTGAGTAACAATGTTCAACCTAAAGAGCTTCAAGTCAAGGCTGCTGTATTCTGCTCTAAGCATCTTCTTCCCTTTATTAACTGTTGCAGCGGTGGACAGAAACACTGCAAATCATTTTTTTCTTAATTGCAACGAATTCTGTTTCACAGTCATTTAAAGGTTTTTGCTTGTGCAAATGGCCCCGATCTTTTTTAGGTTTGTTTTTATTCATTGTTTGTGTGGTTTTGCTTCATATATATTTATAATATTTTAACATTTCACACTTCATTTGCATTCTGCATTTATAATATATATATATATATATATATATATATATATATATAAACACTAGGTTTATATTGCCAGTCATCCACAATCCACAAGTCATCCACAATTAAAGCTGTTCTTTAATTCTCTTTTTGTTACAGTGCCTCTGTGGCTCAGCAAATACCATGTGTATTTATATGTATGTATAAAAGACTTTTATTTGTAATAAAACGTGGGAATAATTTTATATTTCAAAATTGCAGTCTCCTAATCCGTTATACTTCCATCGGGAACAATCCATTTACAAACTGCAGACAGTTGGAGTCCATTTACAGTCCAGGATCGGCCAAAGTTCTGTTCGAATGCGAAAGCGGTAATCCGTATCAATCTTGTACTCCGGGATTTTGATGCATTGATCGCCAATGACGGCGGCTCCCGGTGACAGAGGCGTGCTTGTGTCAGCTCTAACCATGACAGGTTTGTTTGTTTTGGTCTGCCACCGTCATGTCGCCCCTGCCGTTTCCGTCTGTCATCGTCGTCATCTCTGGTAGCTGTTGCACATCTTACTGTGTTTAGCTGTGATGTGGAGGTTGATGGACCCTCCTCCTGTTCTGCCCAGCCATGTTCTGTTGAGAAGTAGAATATCCGTCATACATTTTGCACTCCATATTTCACGCAGCAGTGTTAGGAACTGTGAATGTGGAGATGACTATCAGTAACATAGTGGTGATAATACCCCTGTAGGCCTCTCTGGTTCCCTCTCTGTCACAGCAGACAATGTGTTCTCTTCATCGGTTTTATCCTGTGGAGAGGAGCATTGTTATAGACTCTAAAGTACTTGCATCATGTCTGGGGTATTTAGTTGTCTTACAGCTTCAAGGACTTCTGCTGTGGCATGAGGGTCCACAAGGGAGAGGCCGCAGAATCTGTTGGGACAAATGACAAACCTGTGAAGGGAATAATGTATCTATTCACATTGGAATACAATGAATATAAGGCCATTACATATTATAAAGGCACCTGTGTCCTGGGATGTGGCTGCCTCAGATGAGGAGCTCCCTCCAGGGATGCCTTCAGTCACTGGCCTTCCCTTGTTTAGGCTGAGGGCTAGCTCCTACTTTTAATTATTCTTGTGATTAAATATGAGCATGGGTGTGTATTTAAAGCCTGTGTGTAGTGCATTCTAACAAACAGAGTGTAAAATATGTAATTTTCCCACTGGGAATTGGTAAAACGTATGAATTATGATTAGTGTGTAAATGAAATGTTACCTGACAACACTATATTGGAACTTACACGTTGACTCGAACAGCAATTTTCTCCCACGCTGCTTCTCTCTCTTTTGCTGCGTGTTCATACTCGCCGTACGCTTGCATTAATACTTCCACCTCATTAGGGGTGAAGTATGCCGACCGATTGTTTGTGATTGTTGCCATGGTGAATCGTGGTATCATGGCTCCATTCATGCTGCCTTCATACTGTGGTGGTGCACTCGCTCAACTCTGAGTTAGATATTATGAATCTGTCTTTGTTGACAGGACATGTACCACCGTCCTTCAAGGTAGCTGTAATTAAACCTCTTCTTAAGAAACCTACTCTTGCTCCAGAGGTGTTGGCTAACTACAGAGTCAGACCGATCTCTAATCTTCCTTTCCTCTCTAAGATCCTTGAGAAATCCGTCGCAAATCAATTATGTGACTTTCTACAAAACAATGCTTTGTTCGAGGATTTCCAGTCAGGATTTCGAGCGCATCATAGTACAGAAACAGCACTGGTGAAAATTACGAATGATCTTCTACTTGCATCGGACCAAGGACTCATCTCTTTTCTTGTCTTGCTGGACCTCAGTGCCGCATTTGATACCATAGACCATTGTATCCTGTTGCAGAGACTAGAACATTTAATTGGTATCAAAGGAACTGCACTCAGCTGGTTTAAATCCTACTTATGGGATCGATCCCAGTTTGTGCTTGTAAACGGTGAATCCTCAAAGACCACCAATGTTGGTCACGGAGTCCCACAAGGTTCTGTACTTGGACCGATTTTATTTATCCTCTATATGCTTCCTCTGGGCGATCTTATCAGGAAACACACCATAAACTTCCATTGTTATGCAGATGATACTCAACAGTATCTGTCGATCAAACTGGCAACTTCCTGATGCTAAATTCAGAAAAAAGAGAAGTTATCTTGATAGGCCCAGAGCGCCTTCGAAGCCAGCTGTCAGGCGATAAAGTTTTTATGGATGGAATTGCTCTGGTACCCAGCAGAACCGTCAGGAATCTGGGAATTCTCTTCGACCAGGATATGACCTTCAACTCTCATATGAAGAAGACTTCCAGGACTGCCTTTTTCATCTACGTAACATATCAAAAATCAGGAACTTCTTTAGTTCATGCGTTTGTCACTTCCAGACTGGACTACTGTAATTCTTTGTTATCAGGCTGCTCTTGTAAATCTCTTAAGCCTCTCCGGTTGATTCAGAATGCTGCAGCACGTGTATTAACAAGAACTAAGAAAAGGGATCATATCACTCCTGTATTAACTTCTCTGCACTGGCTCCCTGTTAAATCAAGAATAGATTTTAAGGTACTTCTCCTCACCTACAAGGCACTTGCTGGTGAGGCACCGTTGTATCTTCAAGAGCTTGTAACACCGTATTGCCCTACAAGGCAACTGCGCTCCATAGATGCTGGGTTACTTGTTGTTCCTATGGTTTTAAAAAGTAGGCTGGGGGCCAGAGCCTTCAGTTATCAAGCTCCTCTTTTGTGGAACCAGGTTCCACTTTCAGTCCGGGGGGCAGATTCGGTCAGCTCTTTTAAAGTAAAACTTAAAACGTTCCTCTTTGATTCTGCCTATAGTTAGGGCTGGCTCAGGTTAGTCCGGACCAGCCCTTAGTTAAGCTGCTATAGGCTTAGAATGCCGGGGGAATTCTTAGGACACACCAAGCTCCTCTCTCACGCTCTCGTTCTCCCATAATTCAAGTTTTATTAATGCACATGACTAATTCAGCTTCTTTCCGGGAGTTTTTTTTGTGCTTTCTTCCCTATCAGGTCTCCGTAGATCGTGGTTCCTTCGGGACCCTGGTCCTGACACCTACCGTGGCCATGCTGACGCCTGCTGCTGCCATCATCATCATCATTATTTTAGATATTAATCATATTACTTTACTCATAAACCGACATTACCCTCTCCTAAAATCTCTGTGCTCTCCCTCCCCACAGGCTTCTGTGGATGGTGGTTCTATCTGATGGTGGTTCTGTCTGATGGTGGTTCTATCTGATGGTGGTTGCCCCTGCAGTGGTCCTGCTGTGCGCCTGGCTTACTACTCACAACTACTTCATTACTATCATTTCTGTCATAGGAATTGCATGTATTATACATTGTTCATTCTGTACACATGGCATCCATTGTAGTCTGTCCATCCCGGGAGTGGGATCCCTCCTCTGACGTTCTCCCTAAGGTTTCTTCCCTTTTTTCCCTCTGGGTTTTTACATTTTTTGGGGAGTTTTTCCTGTGCCGATGGAGGGTTTCGGGACAGAGGATGTTGTATGTGTACAAACTGTAAAGCCCTCTGAGGCAAATTTGTAATTTGCGATTTTGGGCTCTACAAAATGAAATGAATTAAATTGAATTGAGCCGCCCTCGCCCTGTGCGCCTCGGTGCTGTCCGGGTACATGGCCGCCCACTTCCTGATGCTGTGGTCGGCGTTCGCGCTGTGGGCCTGGCAGGTCCTCAGTGTGCACAAACCCTGCTACACATCCTGAGCAGTTTGTCCTCTTCCACTTCATTCTTTGTTTCTCTTTCAGGGTTCAAAGTGTCAAAAGGTCTACTGGTTGTTAATAATTTACCTCATTTGTTGTCGTTGTTGAAGTGGCGCATGTTGCGCATGTTGTGATTTTTTGTCTATTCTCACAGTACGACTTCAAGCTGTAGCCCTAAGGGAGTGGTTACCGAGCGTGTAAGAATGTGACCGTTGGCCAATTTCGGTTGTCTTCTTGGACTTCAGCTTGACAGGACGCCATGCGTTTGTTCAAGTACTCTCGCAGGGACTTCCTCCTCATTTGTCTGGGTCTGTTTTCCCTGCTGCTCGACATAGGGCTGGACATATACGCCGTCGTGTCTTTCTACCAGGAACGGGACTACGCCAGTCTGGGCATCCTGCTGCTGCTCCTGCTGGGCTCGTCCATGCTCGGCCAGGCCTTCAGCTGGCTGTGGTACAGCTACGACGAGTCCGTGAGGAAAACCGAGGTGGAGAAGTGCGTGACGGAGAGGCAGCTCAAGCTGCTTCACGTGCTGCAGCTGGGAACCTACTTCAGGTAGTGTAAGCGGCGTACGCCGCCACCGCCTTTTTCATCTTTAAAACACCTCGGGCCGCGTCGGAAGTCGGGTGTGAGTGCAGGAATGCAGGACTTGTACCAGAGAAAAGTGGTGGAATCATTGGAATGTTTCGTTCCCCTCTCCTCTAAATGTAGCTCATGGTGGAGGTTATTTTGGTATTATTTGTGTGTATTGTAGTTATTCCGTTGATGTCTTTCGGGGGCCACGGCACCCTTGTTGACAGACAATCCCATTTGATTGCAGAGCGCTTTGTTCAACATAACAACACTTGTTGACCCCCTCGACCTTTTGTCTCCCAGGCACGCGGATTTGGTGAAGGTGTATCTGTTCTCCTCAAAGGTCACAGACCGAGTTGGCATCGCCGTGTACATGAGCTACGACCTGAGCATGCTGCGGCTCATTGAGACGTTTTCGGAGAGCGCCCCTCAAGTCGTCCTCATGCTCGCCATCATCCTGCAGCGCGGCGAACTCGGCGCCGTCACAGGTGCGTTCTTCATGACAACGATCCTGCCTTTAAAAGGGGCCGTGCAGTCAAAGTCCAGAACCAGAACATGTGAGCTGCTTCCAAAATAGAGACACTGTTCTGTGGATCATCTTCTCATTCAGTTGTGACGCCAGCAGAAATATGAAGATGTATCTCTGAAAACGTTGTGTAGAAATATATTCACCAAAAACAAAGTGACTGATCCCCAATGACTCCTCCTCCTCTTCCTCCTCCTCCTCAGTGCTGAAGGCCCTCGGGTCGGCCTCCACCATGGCCTTCGGCGTGACCATGTACCACCGCTCGCTGCGCTCCTTCCTGCCCGAAAAGAAGCAGCAGCAGATGTCGTCGTCGGTGGTCTACTTCCTCTGGAACCTGCTCCTCATCTCGTCACGCCTCACCGCCCTCGCCCTCTTCGCCTCCGCGCTGCCCTGCTTCATCTTCGCCCACTTCTTGTCCTCCTGGGTGGTTCTGTGCTTCTTCGCGTGGCGATCTAAGACAGACCTCATGGACAGTCCTGGGGGGGAGCGGCTTTACCGAGCCACCGTGGGGCTCATTTGGTACTTCAACTGGTTCAACGTGGCGGAAGGGAGGACGAAGTACAGGACCCTGCTGTATCACGGCTACATGCTGGTCGACATCTCCCTCCTCTGCGGCCTGTGGGGCTGGCAGATGATCACAGAGCCTTATTCTGAAGTCGTCGGCATCGTCTGCGTTGTCGCCGTTGTCGTCGCTTACATCCTCGGCCTGTTTTTTAAAATGCTTTATTACAAGTGCTACCATCCTAACGTGGCCAAGGGGGAGCTGATAGGGGACTCCATTGAGACCACGCTGTCCGCTGACGAGACCGATTCCCCTGTGCACCAAAGCCACCTTATGGACCGCAGCGGGCCGAGTGAACCGGCATCCGTCACCAAAGGCTGCAATAAGAGAATGAGGAAGTTGGCTGGAAATTTCTACTCCTGACCTGCATCACATGACGTCCAGCGGACACGGAGGTCAGGCGGCTGGACAGAAACACTGCAAATCTTTTTACTTGTCTAACTGTTCCTCCTGTTCATGTCGGTGATACTATTCTTCTTTTTGTACTGTTGTAATGTAAGAAATTGAATGTTAAGTAATTTGCTGTACGGTAAACAGGAAATGGCCCCGACCGTTTTTAGGCTTGTTTTTATTTGTTTGTGGCTTTTTGCTTCATGTTTATTTATAATATTTGAACATTTCACGCTTTAGATTCCTATTACGACAAAAATAGTAAAGCTCATTTATAAATGGTAAACTATTTCAAGTCTTCAAGATTTTAATGAGATCAAACCTCACTTCTGAGTTCACTTATCGCCGTTTGTCATTTGCATTCTGCATTTAAGCCTAATATAAACACTAGGTTTATATTGCCTCCACAATTAAAGCTTTTAGTTAAATTATTTTTGTTAGTGCCTCTGTAGCTCAGCAAACACACATTGGGGAGAGAAATAGTGCAAGCTGTGCACAAAAAAACTCTTCTTTAAATAAAAGCTTACAATTAGGTTTTGCATCACTTCATTAGAAAATCATGTTTTGCCAACATGTTAATAACGTATGTAATTGTATATGCAGTAATAGACAAGTACTTGAGTCTAAAACATTTTAAAAGGTTTATTTACATTGTATCGAAGGTCTAAAAGGGTACACAGGACAAACGTCCAGGACTGTCCAGGTCCTGAAGCCTACTGAATGGGAAATAGTGATTATTGTCATTAAATAGCATTGATTATTATGATAAGTGTTCAAGCAAGAGGATCCATTCAGGCTCTCTGCATGACCGAAAGCGCGCTCACAGGTCCTTGAAGGAGATGAAATGAACAAACACACATTAAAAAACAACAGTATTTGGAAAGAAAAAGAGGATGCATAAAAGAATATATATATATTCCCTTAAACGTATTTAACAGACATAGTATACTTCAAAACCGACATGACATGCAGACGCAGTAAAGAAATACACAGAAAACACATTCAATAAGCAGGAAGAGGAAAATGCAAAGATTGCATACAGCCTTTGTGTCGGGACTGAAAGATGAGCCTGTTTACCTTTTACTCACTTTACTCAGTAAGAAAGAACTAACGTGTTCACGTCGGTAACCTGATCTGCTTTAAAAAAGACCACGTTCATTAGATGGTGATTGTCTCTAAGCGATGTCTCCGGGTGCTTCACAGCAGCAAATAAATCTCCTTTTCAAAAGGAAGCAGAAGTCTAAAACAAAGCAGACATATAGTACATTTATGGGGGGGGAACCCCAAAGTGTTGTCACTGCACATCCAGAAATCTATTCTTGAACAAAACAAAACTATTTGAGACGCCATCTGGCGGCAAAGTGAGGGAGAGCCGTGTTTTCCACTGTCCTCATGGAACACGGAGCCTCCAACACGGACCTGCTCGCCCCACAACGGCCTCGTCGCTGTCTAGATGGAGGCCTTTCAAAAAAAAAAAAAAAAAAACAGACAACGAAAAAAGAAAAGAAAAGAGTAAAATAGCACTTTGGATAATAAAACAACGCAGCGATAAATGTAGCCAACCACAAAAAAAGCCGCCTTTGAGATTATGCATACAGATGATGGTTAAAGTCACGCTATAAATACGCAGGACAAACAGAAACACACAGATACACATTCTGATACGGTCAAGCTGCATGTGAGGAAACACAAAACCTTCTACGGTTGAGTCGTAAACTGATGGGTCGCCCGCTGCATGTACACGTGAAAGACCCCTTAAAAATACGCGTCATGTGTCGCACTCATCTTTGATTTTTCTGCAATAGGCCTCAGACAGGTTGTGTTTTCATGTGGCTGAAAATTCAAAGCTGTAAGTAATTAAACGGTCTGAAACAAATCTGCATATTTTCAGCAGATGAGGCAATTCATTCATAAATGCTGAACTAAAAGTAGATTTGGAATATTTTTCTCTTGTTATACCTGGTAGAGTTCACTCTAGGATTTGGGACTGCTGCTCATTAGTAAGTTAAAGACACCAAAAAACCCTCCTGAGCATTTCCAAGAAAAAAATTCCCCATCTTCAAATGCTTGTTTTTAACCATCCAACACTTGGAAAATCAAAAAGATATTCTGATAAGATATTCTGATTAGGCCGCAAATCAGCTACATTTCAATTCCTTTTCCTCTGCAGTATATTTGCAGATAAAATCATTTGGTTTATTGATGAATTAAATAATCAAGAAAATAATAATGGTGTCATCAGCTTGTTGTCGCTGTAGCTTTAACTTTCCAATTTACATTCCGACATGACGACAAAAAGCCAACGTACGGGTCTCGGTCTAAAAAGGGAAAAGCCAGAAACATTCAGGACGTCTCCAGCGTAAAGCGGAGCTCTGTTACTTTACACGACTCGACTTTAGTTCGTTATTCCTCTAATGGGATGTCCAGGACGTTCATAGAACAGGCGGGTTTGTAGAACTGTGTCGCAGCATTTTTCAGACAGTGAGAGTTTTGTTAGCTGGGTTATGGAGCTTAAGTAGAAGCTCTTTAAAACCCCAAACCCCAAAATCTGATTAGCGGGTCCCAAATTCAATGCGAGGTTTCACTATATAGTGTCCTCACAAATATATATATAATCACCTCTGAGGAAATTTAGCATTTCTACTTTTTGGTAAAGTTTAACATTCGCAGTCACATTAATTATTCCTTTCTGCAAAGGTACTTTTACATAGTTACTGCTAAAAGACAATGTATATGCAGTACATTCTGTTATAGAAGTAACAAGCAGAATAGATTTGAGACAAAGCTATTGTTTTCATTAAACCGGACCTCAGCCTTATTAATACTACAACCACTACTTCCTAATCCTACGACCAGTACTAACCCGGACCACAGTTGGGGCGGGAGCCGCGACTGGAAACCTGCTGAGTCAGCGGGTTACGCCTCAGCACGTGCTCCCTGACCACGGACACACACGCGGCTGCTGCGACGCGCCGGCGGTCAGCTGACTGTGAGCGCGCTTTGGTCATGTTGTGACACGTTACTATTGAGTAATAGTGGGATTATTTAATACAAAAAACTACCCAGAGAGCTTTTTTAAAACTAATCCCTTTCACATGAAGCCTAAATGAAAATATACAACAAAAGAAAATGTCAACAAAACAACAACGTCCCTTTGAAATAGAAATGAAGAGGGATTGTTTTCACCGCGGGAGATTTTGCTACGCAATAAAACAATTGGACGTCTTCCCTTCTGCGTCCCAATGAGTGCCAGTTTGAGCCGTAGAGGAGGGAGCGCCGGGAGGAACCTTCGCTCGCCATCCAGTCTGTCTTTGGCGGTCAGAGTTCCCCTCAGTGCGCCGCCAGCACACGGATCTATACACGGGAATATGGGAGAGTCGGTTCCTTTTTGCACAATGTCACTGGGTAGTTTTTCCTTTTCCCTTTGGTGTGCGGCATCCACACACCGCCTCCTCTACAAGAAGTCCAGCTCCAGCGCTTGGTGCAGGGACACGAGATCGCCGTGAGTGGAGATTCGCCAGAAAGGCATATTGTGCTGCGGGAAACAGAGTGAAGCAGAGCGTCAAAGCGACAGGTTCTTTCCGACTTGAGTGGAAGTTTTCCATTTCTTTGAATCATGTCAATAAACAAATGTGTGGCGCTTCATTATTGTCTGCAACCGGGCCGCTAAACACTAAATTATACAGTAATTTAGCAGCCAGTGCCCGTGCTTGTAAATTGGTACTGCAGGATTTATTCAACTTTCCAGTCGGATACACACGTGGATTTGACGTGGACGCCTTTCACACAAACAAAGCATTGTGATTGCACTATTCTGAGGTTTGAGCAGACTGCCGACCGACCTGTGACACAGGCGTAGTCAGCCCCCCCCCCCCCCCCAGTACCGGCGTCTTTTGTCAATAACTCCCAATGGGGAAGCGCAACGAGCTGAAAAACGCTGAACTTTTCAGAAAAGCGCCGGTGACGTCACTGTGGAAAATGGAGGGGACGCTTGTTTTGACCATCTGTCCTGAGCCTTCTATGTCAGACAGACACTATCACAAAAAAGACGAGAAGCCCATTCTTAGGAAAAGCAGAGGGACTGTGGTACCGATCGTATCATACAACACAGGGATTGTCTAGTGTGGTTATAGAAACATTTTTTAAAAAGAGGTTGGATTTCAGTAGAGCGCTGGGAGGAAGCACCAGGGCACCGGCTCCAGCACAAAGAAGGGAGGCGGGACTAAGGCGACTAAGTTTGAACCGTCACCTGTTTTGCTGCGAACTCCTCGTCTCGACCGTCGCCGATCACCACATAGGTCACCTTCTTCCCGAAGCGAGACACGATCCTCTCAAAGCAGCTCTCTTTCCCTGCACGATGCAGAAAAACACACAACAAAAAAACACAAAAAGGTCACAAAAGCAGCATTTCAACACGATTTTTCTCCTCCGCCTCCGTAGAGGAGACTGAATCGGGCCGCGGGGCGCCGCACCTATCTTGGTGGCGCTGTAGATGTTCTCGATGGGGAAGACGTCTCCCAGGCCGTACAGCAGCACCTTCGCCAGAGCGGGAACCAGCTGGGTGGTGGTGACCAACACGTTCATACACTTCCCCCTGTGGGTGGAATACCACGCACACGTTAACATGCGCTCAGAGGAAAACTAAATAGGCTCATTGGAGCACAGGGTTACTTCATCTTGTTCATTTGGACCAGTTTTAGCTGAAAAAATAAAACAAAAACAGATTCTTCCAAGCAAGGTCAGCATAGGAAAAAAAAGGCTACTAAATTCAACAGTGATGTTTCATAAAGCTCTTGAATCTAATAATTCACGCGGCTAGTGTGACCCGAACATTTCTTTCCAGAGTAACAGCCCGGCCTCCCACCTGGACTGGATGAGCAGCAGAGACTTGAGCGCCGTGCAGAGCCACGTGTCCGTGACGCTCTCGATCTCGGCCTGAAGCCGCAGAAGCAGCTCCCTCTTCATGGGACTCAACAGGCCTGAAAGACACCGAAGCGCCCCAAGATGGAGACCCCACTGTCAGCGAATCAGGATACGACTCGCTCACCAGGTCCATCACGCACGCCAACTCACCCCCAACATTCCCTTTAAAGTTACTGTAGATCTCTTTTAGCCGGCGGTAGCGGAAGGCCAGTTTGCGCATCCACTCCACGCCTCCCTGGACCCCCGTGGTGGTTCCTGAAGCCCCTCCCCCGCTGGAACCATTAAAGCCATCAGCCAGGAAGTTGTAGGTACTGGAGTTGGAGAAAGACTTGTGATTTGTTTGCACGAGGGGAATAAAGTTTGCCCGCGAGGCGTGATGTTGTAGTGCGTTTCAAGGCTAACGTGTGTGTGTGTGTGTGTGTGTGAGTGAGAGAGGAGGAAGTCGTTTATAACACACCTCAGGTCCTGTCCATTGTCATCAGAGGCCACGTCCTCAACATGGACTTGATCACATTCCTGGGAAAAAAAAAAAAAAAAAAATCTGCTGTTCACTTGCACAAAGACTACAGCCTATTTGTTGGGAAAGCCATGATGCAGTCATAGACTTTTTTTGATTTGAAGATTATTGTATATGCAGCAGCCTCTTAAGGTGTTCACTCGTTACATATAAAGATGAAAATGTATCACATGACGCCGGGTGAAAAGGACCATTTCAAAAATTGTTTGACTGACTTGACACGAGCATAAATGCAAACTTTTTACCAATTGGCATCTTTGCGTAGTCATTCCGGCACCATTCTTTTTATGCTTATAAATCATGCTGGGGAAACCCTGGTCTAGAACCAGCTGATACGACGAGAGACTGAGGTGAACGGTCCCTCCCCGACGGGGCTGAAGGGCTCTCACTGTACCTCCAGGTCGTTGAAGAAAAGGTGGGTGTCCGCCAGCTCAAAGATCAGCTCCTCCATCTGCAGGCCCAAGTTCAGCACCGTCGCGGGGTCCTGAAGGAACACAGCACAGACCCACTAGAGTCACGCGTCTTCCCCTCACGGGCTCCATCTTTCTGGTTCTTTACAGAGACTGACCTTTCCAAACTTCTGTGCGTAGGAGCCGGTGAGCAGGGAGTGGAATATGATGATGGTCTCATCCAAATCCCAGAGAAAAATGCGCTAAAACAAGGAAGGAAAATCCCCTTATGAACTTAATTCCTTTTAACAACGGGTAAAAAAACAAAACCATTTACCACGTTTATCTACGTCTTAAAATCTGAAGAAAGGCTAAATTACACGCTGAGACTTGCTCACCTCCAGGTCGCTGTCAGCGGGCGACGAGTTGTCGGACCTCTTGCCTTTCCCTTTGGCTTTGCCGACAGAGTTCCTGCGTCCAACCTCGTCCTGATCTCTGGCTCCGGCCGGGACGCCCACACTGGTAGGAAGGGCGGCACCTGCCGGGAGGTTCTCTGGTGGGGACGCGTCTTAATACAAGGAGGTCGGCAGTCAGCACCCTTTTAAAAAACAAGCACTTCTAATGTTTACACAGAGCTGATGTGAATCCAAAGTGGTGAAGTTACCTCGGGGAGGCAGGCCGGCCGAGGCGGCCTCCTCGGACTTCACAGCTGAATATCCGGCTGCTCCCACGCCGGCGCCGTGGTCGTCACTGCTGGGCAGCGCGGCAGGGACGTAGCTGGGAGGCAGAGTGTAGTACTGAGAGAACTGATTCTGGCCCAGAGAGTTGTAGCCGCTAAATTCCTGTAGGAAATAATGAGAGAAAAGTTGCGATCGAGGATGAGCCCCATGAAACCGGATCGAACATAAAATAGAAAGATAACTTCATGATAAGCTCTTCATGGCCGGGGGACCGACCGTTCATTCATTTGAACAGATTTATGAGTAAAGGACATTTACATTAATTATTTCCATGTATCATTGTCCTTTTTAAAATGATAAATATTTGATATTTTTCACAAACGTATTCAAAGGAAATAAAAGACCTGCAGTTTTTTAAAATGCATATTCAGTGCTATTACGCTACAATGTGTGTTAAAATGTCTTTGTAAATCTGCTAAGCACCTGCATGAAACGACATGATTGTTTGAGTTGAGATGCATCTCTGTACATGCTATTGGGCGGCTCCAGGTGCCTTTACTAAACTGGTCGTGTTATGGATAAAAATAAAAACAATAAAGAATCCGGAAACGCTTGTATATTGCAAAAATGAAATATCCTTTTATTGTGGGAGATTTTGCTACTAAATAAAGCAATTGGATGTCTTCCCTTCTGCGTGTTTACCAACCACTATTTTATGCATCGCTGTGTCATTTCTTTCCACGAACGTACAAATTGGCCAGATGAAGAGCTGGTTCACCTCTACACAAAAGTTTTATTTTCTGCACGTTTGAGATCAAAAACCCTCAAACCTGAGTGTATGTCCTTTAGATGGATTTGCATTGTTCTAAAAGATGGAATTCCCTTTTGGGTGCCAAATATAAAACTTAATAAAAAGGTTCTTTCTTATGCCGCACTGATCGGCATGTATGGAGGAACACTTATCTCCCTCCTCACCTGGTGTGCCGCTGTGGTGGAGGTTGTGGTGGCCGCCGCAGCGGACGGGATGCTGGAGTACACACTGGATGTGGTGAAGCTTGAGCCTGGAGACAGAAAGCGCTCCGATGAAACCGCGACAGAGAGAATATAAATACAACCAAGCAGTTCCACACAGTATTTGAGGTGATGGGCAGGAGGAGGCGGACAGAGCTGTGCCACTGCAAGAGATTCAGTGTTCAGTGCTCCCATTTGCAGAGGGTGTGACAGCGTTGTCTTGTGAGTCAGAGTGAGGTTGCAGCTTGCCTTGGTATGAGTAGTGCAGCTGGGCTGGCTGGGTTGAGGTGTATGCGGCGCTGAAGCTGAGAAACCCAGGCTGGCCACCAGAGGGCGCCTCAGGCTGCCCTGTCTCAGTTTTAATGCCTGGCCACATAGCACCTGAAGACGACAGGAGAGCAATGGAAGCGGAGAGTGAAAGAGGCAGCGGGGCGGAGTGGATAACCGAGGCTGTGGCAGAAGTTAAGAAACCGTGGTGGCTGTGAAAAGCAGATATCAAAAAGGGGCTAAATCAATTCCGACAGCGCCAAAGCTCAGTAAGACCTCGAAAGCGGAGTGACAACTAAAAAAAAATAAAAAATAAAAAAAAAAGGGGTGTGATCCTAGCTTTTGGTTTTAGTGAGCAGACAGTGTTGAAAATAGAATGTTAGGGTAGGAGCGGGGACCAACCAAAGGGCGGGAGGCCATACGTCTGGCCCGTCTGGGGGAAGGCCGAGTACACGGTGGACTGGGCCAGCGGGGGGTAGGCCACCTGGCCGGTGTACGAAGTCACTGCCGGGCTGAGAAAAAATAATAATAAAAAGAATCAGTGTTAAAGAAAAAATACAACTTGCAACATCTAATGCTACACAAAAAGTGTAGAAAACCAATATGTTCCTCACTTTAACGTTGGACGTTTAGTCACACATGTGTGTAATAGGAATGAGATGCAAATCCGCCCCAAAGCAGCAGATAATACTGGGGGTGTATAAGAGTTGCGGACAAATCTAGCCTGGAGGTAATCAAGGAACACATGACAAAGATAAAGATGTCCACATGCAGTGCACTCACTCGCTTCCCTGATAAACCTGTTGGGTGTACTCAGAAGTCCCCGTCGAGTCCGCTGCTGTTAAAAAGACAACACGACTCACGTCAACAAAGACGCATCAACTTTTTTTTCATTTTCACAAAGACTTTTAACGTGTACTGTTCCTACCAGAATGCGCATACGAGTCCATAGAGTCTCCGCACGGTCGAGTTGCCGCCACCCGCTCGGAGTCAGACGGGTCCTGATCACCTGCTATCACACAAACTGTCAGTCTCTCTGGTTCGGCTGAACAAGACATTTTTAGAGACAACAAACATGTTACAAGTAACTGAAACACAGCAGCAAGGGTTCACAGTAAACACAGACGGACCTTAAAAGGTAGCTACAGCCATCCACCTGCTCTTTATATTTATTTGAGTCAGTGCTTCCCCTTCGTTATTAAAAAAGTGCTTTTGCTGCGCACGGCAGTTACGCCTCGATGGACACACACAGACACGTGCGCGCACACACAGGTGAGCACGCTCCCAACAGCAGACACAGACCGCGTGTCCGCTACCACTACACCCCTCCCTCCTCTCCTCCGGTCGGCCACTCCGTCCGTCCCCCAAACGTTGTAAACCGAGGGAGTAGCGGCATTCCTTCCATGTTGTTTGTATTTAAGCCGCATTGAGCTGCAGACATTTTTTCTTACGGGAACGACACGACATGCGGACAATATTCGTTTGGTTCTTTGTGTTCTGTGCCGTTTACGCAATGAAGCGATAACTAAATATACAAATAATACATTCTGCCACACGGTAGGTTCAGATACCGATATTGGAAAAAGAACCGCAAGCGATACCCATCCCTAGAAATGACATGCTGTGGTGTAATTAATATCAATAACAAAAGTTCAATTACATTGTATAATAACATCCCAAGGTTTAGCCCTGTTTTATAGGAGAGATAATTTAATATATTTCTGTTGCAATTTGTCCCGATATAGAAAATAAAATGGGACAAAATTATCTTGACCTCCAAGGGGGGGGGGGGGGGGGGGTCCCCCTAATATAATGGGTGGGGAAACACTGCATAATTTCCATCAGCCTTGTTTTCTGGAACAGTGGCATCCCGTTTGTACTCACGTGGATCCAGCTGGGCTGTGGACAGAGCAGAGTAAGAGCCGTCCTGCTCCGATGGACCCAACACTGCAGCTGGGCTCCCATCCTCACCTAAAATGCTAAAAGAGAAAAAATAAATACATCATAATTTTTGCTGGCAAAAAGGCTAAAAGGACAGTCCCATAACAAAACTCTGTAAAATTGTTTCTTAAATGAATAATCCCCAAAAAACGTTGACACTCTCGAACAGATAAAACACTGAAGACCAACCTGGGCTCTTCCTCCAGTCCACCTTTATTCCCAAGCCTGAGCTTCTTTGCCTGTGAACACAGAACGTTCAGAGAAACCTTTTTACTTGCCATTATTTTCTCCCTCTATGCGATTAACCATAAAGTTAAAAAAAAGAAAAGAACCAGGACGCTGAAAAACACCAGCTTCACTAGTTTGACATGCACATTAAATATGCCATGAAAGAGCATCGCAAACAGAAAAAGCTAACGGGAGCTGTGGTACAGACTCAGTGGGAGCGTATTTTTGCATCCTTAACTTGGAGAAGAACAAAAACAACAACAACAACTCACCGGCAGCTCGACGTTCTCCTGCGAGTGGACCATCTGTGCAGCGGAGCGAGCGGACATGTCTGCGCCGTGCAGCCTACTCTGCGCACCGGGAGCGCTGCTCCGGAGCCTGCAAAACACCAGCCAGTCGGTCAACAACAACAAAGAGAACACGCTGGATGCATTGAGCCACAGACCTTATGTAGTGCTGCCGACGTGCAGCCCCCCCGGCCCCTCCCCGGTCGCCGCTATCACCGATCGGCGGGGAGGTGGCGGCACAGGGGTGGAGGGTGTGGGGGGGGGCACCCTGCTCTCATCCCCCGCGCAGCACGAGTGTGTTTGGCGCGGGATTAAGGACGCGTGCCTCTTTACATGTGACCTAACCTTCGCCTACCCAAAACATATTCTCGGGAAACATTAACTGCTCGGGCGCAAGCTGTCGTATCAATAGATCGGGTCGGGATAAGATCTCTCCCCGCCCGCTCGAACTGGCCTTTCCTCGCCTGATGCTTATCCGGCTGACAAATGTCGAGCTTGTGTAAGTGAACTGGAAAAAAAGGGGTATAACATTTGAATGGCAAAAAGGCCACGTGAGGATGTGCTGATGGGAGCTCCACCTGCATGTGATTTGGATATCCCGCACGTAACTCCGATTAGTCGCGAGGTCCCGAAAAGCAAAACAAAAGCAAAAGAGGGGGATCTACAGCAGCTCCCTAATCTGCACTGATCCCTCAAACGCATTGCGGGTTTACATAGTTTGCACTGCTCATTTCTCAAACCAGAGACCACTGGTTTTTGCACAATTTGTCCGTTTTTTTTTTTTAACACACTTGACCCCCCGTCTGTGGCCCACCGGTAGCGGGGTCACGGCTCCTCGGCCAGCACCGGGCTGAATAGCGCCCCCGCGAGGGTTCGCGTGTTGCTGTGGGGGGGCTCGTAATTCTACTTAATTATGAAGGGAAAAGGAACAATATGCAGTGGTTTGAGTTCATAGAAAGCTGCTGATTTATTATTATACAAGTGTTCAGATCCCTAACTATTCACTGTATTGTGCTCTTTATGCGTGTTGAATGACTACCTGGTAAATGATCCGACATTACAGTTCGCTGCTAATTACTCTGGTTATGGCAGCAACTATTTAAAATTAATACCTATCCATTTACCCTACAATCAAGAGAAACAGTACTTTCCCAACAAATTAATCAACTGTGTTTTAATTAACTGGAGGTCTAAATATGACGTTTCCTCTTTAGCTATAATTAACTTACATAACGTTACATTTAAAAAGAGGCTAGTTTGTTTGGTTACAATCGCTCTATAAATACAAACACTTATCGCAAACGCATCTCGGATGCGGATCATTCGTTTTGCCACCGCTGTTTCATCAAACACCGTGTTGTTGTTTCCGGTATTATTTGTCCTGGGCAGAATGCCAGCGAGCCCCGTTTGCCTGAGAAAAGGCAAAATGCAAAAGCATCAACTCGATCTAAAACTCCTGTTTAAGTCATTTATACCGATGTTAGCCAACAACCGTTTGGTTAGCCGAATCCAGCAAGTAACCCAGCCGGGAACGGTCCGCCGTGAAGGTGAAGTCTGACATCACACCAATTCCCGGAACACTGCGGCTCATTTATCTTCTATTTTAAACGAGGAAATGTTGGAACATCAACGTATAAAGCAAGCACGTCTACGCGGTGTGAGCGACTGCGACAGCCGACACTGATTAAGCGAAGCACTGCAGCATTTAGTCCCATGCGAGCTTCCCATCAGCAGCGTTAGCTAACCAGCGTTAGCAGACGGAGCCGCTCGATTCACGCTATTTACTAACAGTTATAACCGAAATAATAAGTGTCACGCACTGTCGGTGTTACATGCCTATTAGCCAACGCGTCCTAACACAATAATGGCGAAATAACCACGCTGTCTTTCAGCGTTAATTAGTTTGGCCCGGGCATGAAAGTTTTGCGCTCCAGAAATTAGTCAGGATCAGCAGCCATCACAGCGGGTACTGAAATAGCATCGTGTGAAAGCATCTCACTCCCGCTGCACACGTAACGCCACGAAGCTTATTTTAACGCAATCGCTCACGCCAGAGTGATCAAACCCAGTCTTACCATTGAAGGGGTGAACGAAAAACGCTTTTATTTAAGCGTCTTCAATGGAATCCACAGTGTCAAGCTTTGTCTGTTGTTAGGGAGCACTATTTGGCAGGAAGTTGTCGTTGCTTGGCCTTATTGCGCATGTGCGGAATGTTAGTTCACAGGAGTCCTTTCTTTCTTTGGCGCGAGGGGGGGACGACAGGTGTGACGGTGAGTCAACACAGGTGAGAGGAAGGACTGCAGGCTATTTGAGCAGATGTCGTCAGCAGCGTAAGTAGCTAATAATGAATGTTGACGTCAAACTAACTTGTAGAAAATAGTTGTTAAAGTTGTTGGCTCAATTTAAGATGGCGGACTTTCTGTGGTTGAATGCATCCAATTACATGTAATCAAGTACTGTAGGCTAGTTAAATCTGGCAGTATTTTTAGTTTGCTTAAATCTTTAAATCTCTCCTGCTTTGTACTTATACGCCACAATAATTAAGAGTGAAACATTGTTCATTTTTACTCCACTACATATCATAATCATCATTGTCGTTTTGTGAATATAATGTATCAGGACACAGTTTCTCATTCAATTGAATGAGATACTGTGTCCTAAAACTTTTGACTAGGATTATGTAGATCTATTATTCCGTAGCTGCAGTAGAATTTAAAAAAATAAAAATAAAAGCACACTGTCCTTAAATCGAGAGAATTTATTCGCCATTTCGGACACAAATTACACAATTCAATTGATCATTTAAATTATCTTTTATACAGTACCAGTGGCATGAAAATAAATATACATAAAAATACAAAAAATGCTTCCAAATATGGAAGAAAAAAAGATCTAGAACTGTGTGTTGCCTTATTGTATTATATTTAACTTTCAGCAGATTTGAAAATCCACTCTGAAATGCCTTAAGTCAACTTGCAAAACAAAGTCACGGGTCATAAATTACAACTAACACGTCTGCTAAAAGAGATTAAATGATAAGTATTCTTTTGGAATCACCAAGTTTGTATTGCACTTTCCAGTACCATAGAATGCTGTAAGCCAGCGCATGCGCCTGAGTCACCTAGTGGTTATTTTCTCAAATCAACAAAGCAAGTTTTCTTCAATTGATTGATTTTAAGATAAGGGACCAAGGTGTTAGGGGAAAGAGAGATGAACGTATAGTAAATAATGGATCAGGCCGCCTTGGACAGGCACAAGACGATCACAAGTCCTCACTACATGGTGCATAAATTTAAGAAAAAATAAATACATTGTAAATTACAGATTCTAGTTTGTCTGAAGTGTTAGCTATAAAACAGCAATCACTTTAATTTAAAAGAAGTGTAATATACAGTAAATGCTATCATCGATGTGCGCCTGTTATTGCTGGTTGAACCCGGTTTTGCACTCCTGATAAATGAGACATATTTTATAAACAGCAGATATATATAACACAGTAGCTCAGATATTATATATATATCTATATATAGAAAGTGGGAAACAACCAATATATGCAGAATCTTGTGAGAACTAAAGAGTGAATCTTTGAAGTCTGCGTTTGTTTTTTCAAATAAAATAGTTTTTTTTTCTACACCGTACAGTAAAACTTTGATAATCTTCCGTTTTTAAAGACAAACCGGTCAGAAAAAGAGTTTGCGTTAAAGGCGCAGCTTACTGATTGGTCCAAGTATCACCTATTAGCGTCATTTATTGAAACGCTTCTCTTTGTTCAAAGCTGCGAGATCAACTGAAGAGCTGGAAGATATGAAGCTGTCTAATTCAAAGTTACTTTAAAGCCAAATGTTTCACTTTTCCTGACCCTTGTTTCTTCAAGTGCAATTGAGCAGCCTCTATGTTTTTTTGTTTTGTGATGAAGGCATCGACCTCAACGGCTAGCGCCCTGCTCAAATGTCCCAACACATTGTAGTTTTTGACCTCTTGGCCAAATGCCGCCGCCGCCGCCGCCGCCGCCGCCGCCGCCGCCGCCGCCACCTGAACTGCCGCTCAGAACCTCAGGCACTTCTCTTCATGTCACCTCACCAGTAGCTGTGAGAGTGATGTCTTATGAACCCAGAGTGCATCCATACTTGGCACACATGTATCATAGTCAATGTTTGATGCAGAAGCGTCGGGTCGATGTGGTTGTGTCCTGAGAGCCTCCCCCCCCCCCCACCTCTCTGCACACACATTCCATGCACAAGATCCCTCAAAATCTGCCCCCAACCCACATTTCTATCCATGTCCATTTTGTCGGTTGGATCCTCCAATCAGGCTCTGGAAAGTCCTCACACTAAAAAACAGGCCCTGTGTTCCCTCGGCCCCGTGAGTTCTTGCGAGTTCCCCGGCAGAGCTGCTGGCGCTCACATGAAGGAGCTGCCCGCCGGAGGGCCGTAAGAGAAGCCCGGGAAGGCTCCGGCCGCCTCCTTGACGCTGCTGGTCACAGCCAGCGAGTCGTTGCACAGAGAGGAGGAGACGGGCATGTGGGTGAACTCGGGGTCGAAGTGCTGAAGGTCGGTGGGGCCGCTCTGGAAAACCGAGGGACAAGGATCACAAATGTTATCGGAGGAAAAAATATTCTTCTGGATACAATCAGTTATTTTCAGACAAGTTGACGACATCACATGGGGCTGCTGGGAAACCGTAGCTTCCCAGCCCCAAAATATGACAAAAAGCCATACGTGGCAGCCATAAGTTTGAACTCACCACTGAGGGGATAAATGGAGGAGTGATCTTCTTGGACATCAGGTCCTCCCAGTTGATCGGGGAGAAGAAGGAGTGGTACTTGAGGTCAAGCTGGAGGAGGAAACATAAATTTGTGATCAACAGATTGACAAGCATCACGGATTCCCCGGGCTTCTCCTCGTCAAATGATCTTTGGGCTCAGCCGTGTCCACTCACAAAGTCATCCTTGACCCCCAGCCTCTTGGTGCGGTCCTTCTGCAGGAGCCCCTCCAGCAGCTCCCGGCCTGAGTTGGACACGTTGGGCTTGAGCACGGGAGCCTTGTGCAGGATGTTGTTGTACATCTCAGCTGTGTTGCGACTGTAAAACGGGGGCTGTAAAGCAAAATCGGGGACAATACATTGGTTTTATTCAAAACAAAAACGAGCCGTGGGGTTTGCATGAAGAGCTGTAACGTCACAGATTTCACGTACAAGTCCGTAGAGCATCTCGTAGAGCACCGATCCCAGACACCACCAGTCCACCGTGCGGTCGTACGCCTGCTTCTGGAGAACCTCGGGGGCCAGGTACTGAGGGGGGAGCAACAACAGGGTCTCAGATCACGTCTGACATTCATCATTTGCTGGTGGAGGTTCTGCATTGATTATGATGAGTGAGTCTGGAGGTCTGTTTTGTACCTCTGGCGTCCCGCAGAAGGTGGTAGTTGTACTGTTGTCTGTAAGGCCTTCTTTGCAGAGGCCAAAATCTGTGAGGACAATATGTCCCGATGAGTCCAACAGGATGTTTTCAGGTTTCAGGTCTCTGTTAAGAAGAAAGACTTTTTTATTTTTAAAAAGTACACCTATGAAAGCCTTCATTTAACTTCAGGACAGATTTACAACTGCCCACCAGGGGGCGCCGTGGGATCGCTCATTACCTGTACACAATGTGCAGGGAGTGGAGGTAGCCGAGTGCACTTGCAATTTCGGCAGCGTAGAACCTTGCTCTGGGCTCCAGGAAGATCCTCTCCCTCTGGAGATGGTAGAACAGCTGGAGAGAAGACGGACACACATCTGTCAGCATCGACCTGGAAACACATTCCCACATCCCGACCTTGTTCCTCGGCGTCGCGAGATCTGGACTTACCTCCCCGCCGTTGACGTAGTCGAGCACAAAGTACAGCTTGTCAGTGGTCTGGAAGGAGTAGTGCAGCCCCACCAGGAAGGGATGCTTGATGTTCTTCATCAGCACGCTGCGCTCCGCCATGATATGTTTTTGCTGGAGGGAATATACGGAAGTTAATACAACGGCGCGTTCATCACAATGACGTCGACCAGTGGATTAGTGTTGACACATATAGTATCAACCTGCGGTTCGCTACTTGAATTGAAAACACACCTCCTTCTTCTTCAAGATGATCTTCTTCTGCAGCACTTTGACTGCGTAATATTTGGTGGACTCCTTGTGTCGAGCCAGCAGGACCTGTGGACAGAGCAGAACGTTTGCATCGGCGTCGCAGTAGCTACAGATGTGAGAGCAGTCGGTTTTGAGGAAGAGACGTTGTCGGACGCACCTTTCCGAAGCTGCCTTTGCCGATGATTTTGAGGTAATCAAAGTCACACGGTTTGATCCTGATGAAGGGAGACAAACAGATGATTAGGAATTGTTTTTTTTATTGACACACAGAGAAGTGTACCTGTTTTACAAACTTTTTTTATCTGGCTACTCACTGAGTGTCCTCATCCAGGGAACTTCGTTTACTGAAGCGCATCTGGAAGATTTGAAATGAGAAAATGTTTGAGAACATTGAATTATATTGGAAAGAAAATTAGTAAAAGAAAATGTCTGAAAAGTGTCTGCTCACCAGACTTTCAGGAAGTTGGTCGTCGTCGTCGTCCTCCTCCTCCTCGTTTTGATTCTCATTCATCTTCAGGAAGTTATTAACTTCAACGCTGAAAAAGAACAAAACCAGGGACAGAGCTGATTATACAGTTTATTATAATCATCATCATCATCATCATCATCAGCGGCTTCTTTTACAACATGACCCAGATCACAGGATCTAGAGCGCTTTGTGTGGCCTAAAAGCTGCGCACACACAGACGCGGGACCCTTCCTTGTCCACAGCACCGGGCTCCAAATGGAGAGTCCATGTATCGAGTAGTAACTGAATTAGTGGTTCATCCCTTTCTTGGGGACAGAAGGGATTTGGCCGGAAGGTGATTAGGCGGGCGAGAGGTGGTTTGTCGGGGAAGGATTGTTCTTGCACTTGGCTCCGTGGACCCAGATTACACTTTTCACAAGATGTCCTGCCAAACGCAGGTGGCTGATTGGATTGGCCACCGCACACAGACCACAAATGGGCCAACAAATCAGAAATAAATACTAGAGATGCACCCTTGGATCATTGCGATGTTCCATCCCAAATCTAGGATTATATTTACAATAGAAATACTCACTGTTGGCAGATATGTGGGGTAGACACCAGCTTCTGGATGAAGTCATTCAACCCCATTTTTCTCTCCTTGATGAAAGCTGCAAAGAGAGAGAGAGAGAGAGAGAGGGGATGGGAATCATTAACGTCACGTCTGAGCACCAGTGTCGTTTGCACACATGTCTCGTCCCCCGTGGGAAAAGGAGACATCAAGTTGGAGCAGTAATCAGCGGCTCGCGTGCGGATGGAGCGCTAATGCTGCGGGCTTACGGGTTACGCAAGCCTTTGGGTCGCTCATCGCGGGACACCGGGACGGCGGGAGCGAACCGCGCGTCTTCCGTCCCGCATTCTCAATGCGCCACAGACGCGCCGTTCAAAGCGGGTTTCTCGCCATCGGCTGCGGTCGTTCCGTAGAACGTTCCGGACAAGTGTAACAAAAAGGCGCACGCTGCAAACGGCTGATCGGCCGAGCGCGACGCGAAAAGCGCTCGCTGCGCTCCGCTGAGCGACAGGGCGACGCGAGTCGTGATGGTCGGATTCGGCGGCTCACCGGTGAGAACGGTGACGATCCCCCTCATCTTGCAGTAGGTGAGATCGCATCCAGCTTCAGTCACCTGCATGGTGTCCGGTTGACAAAATATCCGATTCAAAGAGTAGCCGGAAGGGAAAAAAGCAACAATAAAAGTCCCCGCGCGCTCGTGAGTTGTTGTTGTTGTTGTCACACGCGTTGAGCCCAACCTGACACACACTGCGCGAGCCAGCAGCTTTATATACATACGGGACACGTGGTACCTTTTTCCTTTTTTCTTTTAGAGGGTGACGCCCCCGCATTTCTCTTTTTTCACGTCACCGGCTCTCAGTTGCCATGGCGACTGCGTGACATCACGGGATTCCGCTGCAGCCATATTCTGCTTGAGAGGGGGGGCGAGAGGAAGCTCTCCCCCTCCTCCTATTCATCCTTTTATCTCAATGGAAAACTCTATCTGGCTGTGATGCGCCCACACAAAGGGACGTAAGTCGGTTTATCCGAGCAGCGGACTGCACTCGCAGTCAGGTGTATCATTGGCAGGGTGTGGATGCTCCCTACACGTCGTTTTACTTTGAAAAGGAAGGGGAAAAAAATTGATGTCACGATTGCTGCATTTAAGTTTGTGCTTGCGACTGCAGCGTGTCCTGTACCGCTGTACTCCACATGCTATGACATGCAAAAAGAAAGATAAACAAGATAAATCGTAACCTGCATGCTTTAAATGTACGCAGTTTCCAGAGATGTTCTTGTGCTTTGCATTCTAGTCTCTTTCCGACGGGGTCAAGGTTGTAAAGGTGACTTGGCACTGCGGTGTTACATAAATTCAGAGAAACTGCCCATGACATCATGATGGTCTAAGCCGAATCTGTCCAGCTGTGACAGATGTGGTCTCCTGACCGTATCAGTTACGTAACCGTGCCATAATGCAGACGACTGCGCTGCCCCGGGAGGAGAGCCGGAGTTCACAGTGAGCAGTAATGATGTTTATAAGCCCCGAATGTTTGGTGTCTGCTGAAGTGTTGTGTGATCAGTCGTAGTGTCTTATCCTATTCCATCCATCCATTGTCAAACCGCTTATCCTGCACACAGGGTCGCGGGGGCTGGAGCGTCTTATCCTATTGTACTTTCAAATTAAGCTCTAATACGTTATTAGAACTGAGTTTATAAATTGATTAATGGATTAAATTCAAACTATTTCGATAGCTGATTAAACATTTTAAAGCTTTTTACAAGCAAAAATTGAAGAGAGACCAAACAGTCTGTGTAAATCAGGATTTGCTGCTCTAACGGAATATCTTTGGGTTTTGGACTTTTGGACTAGGCTTCGTTTTTCAATTAACTATATAATATCTTTATCACCTTTGGAACTTTTCCACTGTTTCACTACTGTAAAAAAAGATCTTGAATAGCTGCCCTATTTATGATTCAAATTAGTGAATTTGAACAGCATTTCAAACAGTTTAACAAGCCCTTTTACTAACAAAGGAGTATTGTAGTTCTAATAGTAGTTTTAGTGGTTAATACTTTTATACTTAAGTCGTAGTTTCAAATGTAATAATTTCATATTGCTGTTGGTTAGTTTCAGCTATTAATCTGCTATCTTTTCAATACAAACATGTATTTCACAAAGCCTGTGGATGTAGTCTGATTGCTGCTATATTTCTTGTCTGGCTAACCTTCCAAAACCCGAGAGTTCTCCATTTCTTAAAACATATGGCAAAGAAAACTAGAAAGTACGTAGCAAATACTCTTCATTTTAATAGGATTATTGGATAAGTAAATTATGATATATATTTTAAAAAAATGCATTTTCACTTTTAAAGGGCCTGAGTGCTTGTTCCTCCACTATGAAAACCTTCTGCTTCAGTACTCAGAAATGAATTCATCAGTCCGACGGAAAGTCCCAGGTCTCGTCCCCGGTTTGACATGTGACCGTCCTGCGGGTTTGGCGGAAGTGGGCTGTCACAGGACCGGTCGTTCTTGCATCGGGGAAAGAGGAAGTGCTTGTTTCTGTGGCAGAAGCCTAACCCGTTTCCTCCCAGAAACCACCTGAGCCAATGAGGTGGAGGCGGCACCTCTCACCCGGTTTGGGCGAGGCCTTCTCCTCCCCTCACCTCACCCTCACGAATTATTCAACAGCGTCGTAGTGACATCATCTCCGATTGATCGGTTGACGGGGAAAAAAACCCCTGTCGTACCGCTTGAGTGTTTGATTTGCATGTTTCCTGTTGTGGTGGAACAGTAGAGTCGAGAGGTTGAGGAGGTGCTTCCTCCCCCTTTTTCTGCTCGATGTCCCCGTCGGTGAGAAGCGAGAGAAGACTCTCACGTGAACTTCGGTGGGAGTAACAGTCTTTCCCGTTGTGATAAAGACAGATGATCTGTCCCGGCGAAGTTCACATCTTCACCAACAGGCCCCCCGCTCCTGAGGCATTGCTCCCTAAAGCCGAACCACAGCTCTGTGGGTTTATCACTACAACGCCTGTTGATATCGCACGGCCATTTTTAAAGATATTCTGTCTGTGCATATAAAAATGTGTTTGACTCGTTTGTTGAGTTGCTACGGTTGTTTTTTAAAGTAGCTGAAGAGGATACATGTTCTTAATCTTAGTCTCTTTGTATGACATCGTCACATGTCGTGCAAATCGCGCAAAGAAAAGCGGTGCAACATTCATAAGTTCGTGCCGGATGGAGTATTTTGATTCTGGGAATAACAAGTGATGTTAAATGATCCTGCTAGATTTGAGTACAGTCAAAAAGCTGCCCCTCTACCTGCCTGAGGCAGCAGCCGGTGGATGGATGAGTCACGACAGGCAAACAGACTTCCTGCCGTCTCCACGCGGGTCGGTGAAGCAGGAAGTCTGTCGGCTAACGAGGACGGAGAATCTCTCGTTACACCGTCGGCTCTGAGGAGCCATCAGGGCCTTGTGTGTTTCACACCCACACAGTAATGCCAACAAGCTCCCACCGGAGAACACAGCGCCGCCGCAACACACACACACACACACACACACAGAACCGCCGGGCGGCAGACCTGGAGGTGGCGGTTCGGCCTTGAGCCCCATCAGGTGGGAGCTCATTTTGGCCCACGGTTAGCTTTACCCTTTGTCCTTTTCCTCCCTCCTGGTTTCTCAGGCAAGACATGAAATGCTGTTTTTCGCCAACCTCCACGGGGATTAAATGGCTTCTCATCAGATTAAAAAAGAAAAAACACAAGGGAAGAAATGTTTGCATTCTGATGAGATGACCCAACTCATGCAAAATTATTATCACAAAATGAGCAATTCTTTAATTTTCTGCCAAGCAAACGGGATGATCCTGCCTGTCTGGAACTGCAAAGCCTCTATTTATTTGAATAATGTGATTGCTATTGCACGCTTCAATTCCTACCAGGATGGGGAGGTGAGCGTTGCCCTGATCTAACACGTGTTACTCTGTGGCCGGTTTCCTGTGCATCACTGAAAAACGACAGCAAAAAGGAAGCCCATATTTCGTTAGACAGCGAGACCATTTTCATTCACCATCTCCGCAAAATAACCCGAATCAGTGACCAGTGGATGTGACTTCTGTTATTGAATGCAGTTCCTGTTTCTGGCTGCTATTGTGATCAGATGACCGTGACGTTTGACAGAAACAACGCATCTGAACATCCCCGTTTCCCTCTGTGGCAACAAACATAAATAAAGTGAGCACACAAGTTATTCATTTTATGCTACCACTATGCTACCAGTATGAGATACTCATCGGGAAAACATCCGTCGGCAATTGATCTAGTGTGGCAGCCGGAAAGCAAACTCATTAACGATGCGTGCCAATTGATGAAGATGATGACAGCTAGCGTCATAGTTTAGTTACAATTGAACCGGTCGCAAATTTGCGTCCCTGCATGTCGGCATTCTTGTCTACGACAACTAAAGAAAAGATGTCCATCTGGGGACAGATTTCACAGATATTTTCAGAGGGATTTCCCAAACAGCCGGCGTGCTTTTCCACTCTTAAGCTCAGTGACTGCAGCAGCCAGGTTCCGAGAAATTAGATTTTTTTTGATCTGTATTAATTTCTAGGTCCATGACTACTCGGACTTGTCCTGAGCTCCTCTAGAACGTTCTGAGACGTAAAGTTGACATGCTTGCTTTGTGATGCTACAGAGTGGAAGCATAATAGGTACTTCGGTCAGCGGCTCAAACCCAAAACACACCCAGGTTTGGTTTGGTGACCAGTCCACAGGAAAGGTTTGACATTTTGCGAAATGCGCTGTACAGTAAATTTAGCGCGGCATAAACAATTCGAAACCTACAGCACAGTGGAATATCTACAAAAAGACCAACGAGTTGTGTTATTTACAGGCTGATTATACGCTACCTTGGACTACCGTAGCTTCCTTGAGCCTTGCTACCACAGTGAGGTTGCCATGCAACAAGCAGAACAGAGAAGATACGTTATTTAGTGGGCCTTAAAGGTTCTTGTTTTCTTATTAGCTTTGGACACAGCAAGAATTGTTTCCCTGTGTTTTTTGAGTATTTATGCTAAGCTAACCATCTGGTACAGACATGTGCAGTGTTTTGGATTTTCCCCATTGAATTCTCTGCAGGAAAGCCATTTACGAGACTATAGAAACATTCACTTTCAGATTTGGGAGCTTTGTTCGGTAAGATGCAGAGGCACGGCGGCAGCGTTTATCCTCTCAGGTGACGGATGAGATGAGGAGCAGGGGGGCTGCGGGGAGGAGAGGAGAGTCTCTACCGCTGGACGTTTGCAGAACTAGCTTGACAATGCAAGGACAGATGAAGGAGTCCAGGTTCAATGCCTTTCAGGCATTTTGTGCAGACAAAAAAGCATCTCAAGCTGTGGCAATGACGTCGAAGCAAGCAGAGGAGAAACGCAGAACGGTGGAGTGGGTTGAATAGTTAATAAACAGTCTTAAGAATACAAGAGTCACACGATCAAAAAGGCAAAAAGGACACGTGGATGGTTGAGCCAGACTACAGCGTTGAAGCACGAAAGAGTAAACGGTGCACGTCTCACGGTGCATCGTCCTCTGCACTGTTGCCAAGAGGCTGCACGTTCACGCGGCAGAAGGAGATTTAAAGAGAGCGCCTACCTATGAAGGATCTCTTGCCACTCTTCATGTCTCTGACTGTAGCCGGGCACAGAGTCTCTGGTTGACGAACGTTTGTCTGCCGCAGAGCGTCCAGGCGATTGAGTGCATGAGAGAGATGTGGTCCTCCTGGAAATACGCCTGCCTCTTTCTTTTTTCTCTTAAAACATTTCTCACTGCAGCTCTGGCCACAAAAGTATTTAGATTCACAGGTTAATATGTTTTCCCTCCGCTGCTGCTTCTTTTGCTCTTATCAACCTGCCTGCGCTGCAACCAAATAGCTGAAACCAAAGATCTGTGACGCACCTGCTTCTCCTCCTTCATACCCCCCCCATCCCACACACACTCACTCATTGGTTCTTTCATCTCCCCAGAGATTCTCGAACAAAACAAAACCGCAGGTGTCTGGTTACGGTGAGCGTGGGAGTCCCGCCGGAGGGGGGAACCAGTCTCTATGACACAGGAGCCACCTGAGGAATACAAGTGGACAGACATCGAGGTGTTTCTTGAAATCCGCTTTTTATTGGTCACTACACAAATGAACCGTGCGCTGCTCGTCAGCCTCCTCTGCCTGGCTTCCCTGAAGGGGTTTAGGGGGCGGCGTAAAATCCCCTCACCTCGGTCCCACGCACTGATGGCCGATGCTTTGGAGGCTGTCCGCCTCGGGGCTCGTAGGCAATCACACACACAATGAGGGCCGTGATGAATAGCGAGGTCTGTGGGGTTGACACTCGGAAGCTACTGCAGCGACATGGATGAGCTGCGGCCATTCGTCACAAAGAGTGGGGCGGAGTGGCATGATTTGGCCAAAAATAAATATAAAATTACTGAAGCTGTAAACCCGTAAAGAATCAAAGCCTCAGGGTTTACATTACAGGTCATTTAGCTGACGCTTTTATCCAAAGCGACTTCCATTGCATTTTTAACCCATGGCTTTAAACATTTTTGCCCAGGGAGCAATTAGGGGTTAGGTGTCTTGCTCAGGGACACTTCAACAGGGGACACTGAGCAGCCAGGGCTCGAACCGCCAACTTTGCGGTTCCCGGCGGTTAGGTGCACCCGCTCTACTCCATGCGCCACGGTCAACCCTTTAAGTATATATACTTTTAAACGATGTTGAATACTATGTCGCAGCAAACACTACATGAGCATGTGATACGTCACGACCGGTCCATCAAACTGCAGTTTTGAAGCCAGTGCAGCACTGTGGTAGTTGCCATCTTGTTTTTATGAAACCACATGTGACTGTTGAGCCATATATACACAAATCCCCTGCTTTTTAGTCTACTGTCCCAATAATCATACTCTATTGTAGAATACTTGAAACTAGAGCTTGAGACAAACTCATGTTTACAAGGTCTATAAATCGAGAAATAAATCGAGAGTAGTAGAGTAATTTTCACATAGACTGAGGAGTTGCCCAACCATGGCTGTGGATTTCTCTTCTGTATTCAGGGATGGGCAAACAAAATGTATATGGAAATGTTTTATACAAAAATGAAACTAAAATACTGGTGCCAAAAAAAAAAAAAACTTTTCTGGATTTTTTGTACAAGTAGGCCATGAGATTTTGGCTATATACACAGCTCTATAAAGCCCTACCCTATAAAGATAAGCTCCCAATAGCCATCTACTCAACTGATAAGTTAACTTGCTAAACACTGGCTATGCACTAGCCTAGACAGCATTCTGTGTTTAGTGCGTTGGCAACAAAGGCTAGCTTGATGTCACACACACACACACGTTACCTGGACAGACAATACGTTGAAGTTTAAGACTTAATGTCTATTTAGAGCTGGCTCAGGCCAGTCCTTGATTAGCTCCCCGTTCCTTCTTTACAAATTAAGGTCCCATTAATGCAATCTTCCCAGGAGTCTGCTTGCCTCAAGTTTATTAGTCATGGTTAAATATCCATTCCTCACCCGTGTGTGGTTGCCGAACCTTTATTGATGGAGGTAGTTTTTTTTAAATCAGTCCCTCATAGGAACAAGTAGAACCATATTAAGAAGCAATTTTTACTAATGCATGGAAAAAGTACGTACAAGCAGATGCATCTTAAGATGCATACCCCACTTATACGGGTCGCCAAGGGTTACTTATACAAGGAGGTCGACCAGGATTCCGCAGCTGGCGACGTCGCCCAGGGTCCCGTTGCTGGCGACGTCGCCCAGGGTCCCGTTGCTGCCGCTGGCGACGTCGCCCAGGGTCCCGTTGCTGCCGCTGGCGTCGTCGCCCAGGGTCCCGTTGCTGCCGCTGGCGTCGTCGCCCAGGGTCCCGTTGCTGCCGGTGGCGACGTCGCCCAGGGTCCCGTTGCTGCCGCTGGCGACGTCGCCCAGGGTCCCGTTGCTGCCGGTGGCGACGTCGCCCAGGGTCCCGTTGCTGCCGGTGGCGTCGTCGCCCAGGGTCCCGTTGCTGCCGGTGGCGACGTCGCCCAGGGTCCCGTTGCTGCCGGTGGCGACGTCGCCCAGGGTCCCGTTGCTGCCGGTGGCGTCGTCGCCCAGGGTCCCGTTGCTGCCGCTGGCGTCGTCGCCCAGGGTCCCGTTGCTGCCGCTGGCGTCGTCGCCCAGGGTCCCGTTGCTGCCGCTGGCGTCGTCGCCCAGGGTCCCGTTGCTGCCGCTGGCGTCGTCGCCCAGGGTCCCGTTGCTGCCGGTGGCGCCGTCGCCCAGGGTCCCGTTGTTGCCGGTGGCGCCGTCGCCCAGGGTCCCGTTGTTGCCGGTGGGCCCTCCGTCGTTCTGCTCATGTTCAACAACGTTCAAGTGGAAAGCAGATGCCTTACCTTCCACTTCATTAGTTTCCAGTTGGACTGAAATAAAGACATTCAATTAAATAAAGCCTCAAGAAAATGAAACATCATGAAAGAGCTTGAAGCAAACAACAAACTTGAAATCAAATAAGTAGAACTTGTTCACCTTCTTTTGACTTCCGCAGCAACGCGGACTCATGTGAATGGTAAAGTGTAAGGGCCTTCTTTACGGAGGGGTCATAAGGAGACAGATCTATAGTAAAAAAAAAAAAAAAAGTCCGTGTCAAGAAGAAGCTAATAAAATATGCAGGGTACTTACCGCTCATATGCCTCTGCAGCCCATTACTGCTCATTTCATTTGTGTCACCAACTGGCAAACCAGAGCCTGTGGATAAAGCAGCTGTTTTTAGTCAAAGGTTTCTTCATCACCCTTAAAATGACCATACTGCACCTTATTGAATGAACGTTTCCAACAGAACAAATAGAAATACCTGTGGTAAACCAGACAGTCAGCACCAACACAAGCAAGACCCAAAACGCTCCCATTACTTCAGTCACCAACAGAAAATGCAATCTCAGCCAGGTGGTAGGCTACATATACCCATTCTGCAAGTGTCACAGGTGTCGCTCATCAGCTATAATTGTCTCTCTACTCAGGAATCAGTGCAGAATCAAGATGCCGCCCTTCTTTTGACTAATATTTGATAATCTGATCATAAAACTAAATAAAAATAAATGTTGCATTTATTCATTTTATGACTTCAATATTAAGAAATGGAGAAAACTATTTATGTTATGGAAGATCAAACTTTCACACTGCACACGTCACTTTAACTTTCCACTTTTTGTTCGCTGGGGCACTTTTTAATTTAATATTTTAAACTTTTTAACTTTAGGGGGTCTGTATATATATAGTACATAAATAGTTTAATAGGGCGGCACGGTGGTATCATGGTTAGCACTGTTGCCTCACAGCAAGAAGGTCGTGGGTTCAACTCCACCCAGTGGCCTTTCTGAGTGGAGTCTGCATGTTCTCCCCGTGTCTGCGTGGGTTCTCTCTGGGTTCTCCGGCTTCCTCACACAGTCAAAGACATGCTCTGGGGATCAGTTTGATTGGTGACTCTAAATTGCCTGTAGGTGTGTGAATGGTTGTATGTCTCTGTGTTAGTCCTGTGATTGGCTGGTGACCATTCCAGGGTGAACCCCGTCTATTGCCTGGTTAGATTCCAGCCCCCCCACGACACCGATAAGCGGTTTGACGATGGATGGATATATAGTTTAACATCTGTATATGTATAGATACATATGCTGATTTTGTGTGTTTTCCTGCTCACAAACGGGGAATAGACACGAAGGGAATAAAAGCTCTGCACGTCTCTTCACTGTCTGTCAGATAGACTACAACCAAATCGCTTCGAACCAGAGTCAGACCCTGAACAGGAAGTGGCTCCCCAACAAGTTCCACAGTTTCGGGTTCATCAGGATGTTTCTGAATGATTTGCGCAAACCAGCTTTTCCCATATTCTAGCCGGAACATGATCTTATATGAAATTATACCGGCACCCTGCCCCCCATGAAAGTCTCTTCCTCCAAAGCTGTAAACCTACAGGAAATTAATTAATTAAAGGAATCAATAAAAAAACATGCCAGTTGTTTTTTCTCCAGCGTTTGGTAGGCAGCCACATTAACACCACAGGACCCAGTCCAATGGTATTGTTTCATTGGAGAAAATAACGAGGCCGAAAATACTGGATGTGTGACACCACATCGACGTGACAGATTTGCATGTAATTTAAATTGGGGCAGACTGCGAGCAGCAGGATGTAACGCGGATGTGAGTGGGTGTGAGATGGAGTGACTCAGAAACCCGCCGATACGTTGATTCAGACGTGTGATGTCCCTGAACAACTTTGGCTTCATTGTCGAGTTTAGTTGCTGTACGTAAACGGGGACGATGTGGATTTGTGCGAACTTGATGAGTTGGTCAGATAATGACCACTTCCTTGCAGAGAGTTGTGTTTCTCTCTTCTTTGTCTGGTAGATATTAAAGTGTAATATATTAGTCAAGAGACCTTTAGCTCGGCTCATTTCAGGATAACTGGGGGTAAACTGCTCGCCTGGCTGTGTTCAAAGGCAACCACATTTGCCTACCAGCTACCAAACTGATTGACCTAAAAGTTATTAGTTATTTTTTAAATTTATTTTTCTTTTTTCTTTTGTATATGTAAACTGAAACAAACAAACAAAAAAGGCTCTAAAAATGATGATTTAAACCATAACATGTATCAATACCAAAAAAATAAATTATATTACAGGGATAAATAATCCTTTAGATTACAATCACATTCTGATATGGAGGGCAAACCAAACTAAAAAACACTAAAAATGAATTGCATGAGCTCAACAGTCATCTGCAGATCTGCACCCGCGCTGGTGGAGTCATCTCTGTGCATGTGAAGGACAAATGGCGCGCGAGGGATTGAGACCACGGCGTCTGTACAGTAGGTCAGTCTATGAACAGCCTCGGCTCACCTGTTGCTATCTTTAACCCGATTAGCAGCAGGTCGTGTTTGGAAAGGCGGAAGGCGTGGGCGTGTGTGTGTGTGTCTGTGTGTGCCCGGCCAGCCTGTAAAGGTCGAGGCTGTTGGTTCCTGTAGAAATCAGCTGGAACACCAGAGTCTCTTGTCTGGTTCCCCACAGAACTTCATCATCTGCATCGTTTCAGGGCCGTCAAAGAGACGCGCCGGTTCTCCTGAGGGTCACCCACGAGGTGAGGGTGGATTTAGACATGGAGGAGCTTATCACCAGCTGCGACGCAAATAGAAACAAGCCGGTCCACTTCAGTTGTCTTAAGAACCGTGTGATCCTGAATGTGAAATGTTGAGTCACACATGAAGCTAACAGAGCAGCGCACGTTTCCTATATACACCGGAATCATGAAGATGCTGTTTAACTGAAACCCGTCAAATCATTTAAAGCAAACACGATTTCTTTAGACCAAAAAGGTTTAAATAATGAGCAGTAGCTGCCCCATTATTCTCATCTCTGTGCCGGTTTTAGCTTCTCCTCCACTCAGTCCCTCCACGCTCACCCAGTGGGTGACCCTCACGACATCCGGTGTGTCAGCCGCTCATCCCCCCCCCCCGAGTGCAGCCGAGACGTGAGTTGGTTAAAAAAAACAACTAAAACGCAGGCAGACGTCTGGTGTGGGATGTTGGTTAGGCAGCCACGGTCAGAGTACCGGAGGAGAAGCTGACCCACTTTGGGCGCCACAAAAGGAGCGACACTCAACGCACAAGAGGAAGGGATGTTCAGGCCTGGTGCTCCGCTGCACCATTCCGAATGTGGCGGCTTCCCTTCTGTCAGTAATGAGGACGCCGCGCTTCGCTGGGATTAAAACATGTGGCCAGTCCACCCCCAAGGACAGAGCGGGGAAAGTGTAATACGTAAGAAATAGAGTCCTCGCTTCCTCACACGTGCAACGTCCCCGTTTTATTTGACTTTTTTTCTTTTTCAACCAGGTCAGAAAAGACATTAATGAGACGCATTAGATCACACAAGATCAGATCATAATCTCTCTCTCTCGCTAGAAATGTGTTCCAACCTCATGATGATAGCTCACTCTGTGAGTGCATAAGAGGGGTCTGTGCACGTGTGTGTGTGTGTGCGTGTGCGACCGTGCTTTTATAACCCTGCACGTGCGCACGCGTGCAGCTCAGGGGGCGTTTGAGTGCGCTGGGGCAGTTACACAACGCCTCTCGGGGTGTTACGGACGTGATGCGCTACTGGGGAGGATTACAGGCCTGAAGTCGCGTAATGGGAGTAAAGAGCCAACGGAGACTAATGTATCTGTGGCGCAGCGCACATGCTTAAGGCTATTTATCAGTAAATAAAGGCTTTTCACGGAATTACACTGAATTCCCCCTATGCATAGAGGACAGACGATTTTATCAGATTAACTGATAACAGGGCAGAAGATAATGATTATTGTCTTTATCTATCAAGTAATTATTTTCTTGATTATTAGTCCGCCCCAGAAAATAAAGAATAAGGAACATTTTAAAAGCCCCAAACCACAAAGTATCAAATCATCACATTTAAAAGCTAGAAGCAGTCAAAGCAGATTATTTTTCTGTCAATTGTTGCAGCGTTTGTTGTGCAGTAAATCCAGTAAATAGTGCAGGAAGGATTGTCTTGTTTAGTCAGCATCTTTTCTTTATTTTGTCATTTTTCCCAATTAAGTCTGTGCTGCAGGCTTTGGTGTGTTAAACACAATGGAGCTGAAAACGTTCTTCTTCAGCCTTTAATTGATGGATGCAGCCATGAAGTCGATGTTGGAGTATTGATCACAGTTTGAGATTAATGTTCATAAAAACAGTGCAGTGCTGCGTCACCGAGCAGAAGGTTTTAATCTGATGGACTTCAGAGAGTTCAGAAGGGGACGATTACATCAGCAGGCATCCAGAGTTTAATATTAATGAGCCCGTCTGCCATGACCGAGTTAGAGGAGAGCGGATCTGGAGATGAGAAACGGGGAGCAGGTGCAAGTGGTGCTGACGAGTCACTGCACATTTCCCCAAGAACACGGCCGGATCCTTTACACAATGTGTGTGTGTCTGTGGGTGTTTTGTATGTGAGTACAGACACACACTTATTACACACTGACGTCCTATGATACGGAGCCACAGGAAGTGGTAACGTGAGATCCATCCCTGCTTTTAGATCTGCTTCCTTTTCACTCTCACGATTTCCACAGGAAACGCTGGGGAATTCCTTTGAATTACGTTCAGACAAAATTTGAATTCCAATGCCAGGGAATGGCATGTTAGACAGCAAATATTCTGATGCCTCACATATTACGTACTGAATACACCTGACTCTTGGGTCAGCTCATACACATACACACAGAGCAAGTGAGGAAGAACATGGAGCGACCATTATTATATTAGTTATGTGCTGTAATAACCAGCATAATAAGCTTGTATCTCCACTCAGGGTGTGTAAGAGCGTCAAACATGGGACTTTCACCCAGGAGACTGCTGTGCTTGTCCTTGTCAAACCAATAGGAGACGCTGACTTTATATTATATATTATACTATATTATAAAAGAAAGTCTGCGTAGGCGGGATGTTATGTGTTCACTTTAAAGGAGATAGACGTCATTATTTTATTGCAAACTATAATCTTCACTCTAACAATCATCTAGTAGTTATCTTGCGTAGTTATCACATTAATCATGTGGCTTTGTGCCTTTCTGCAGCTGCTGCGAGGCTGATATGAAGCATATTTTCAACTACGTAAGTCTCAAGCAGTGACGTACACGCGCCATGTTCCATACTAAGTTACCTCAAATTCCAACTGCATTTGGGACATTTTTGCAAAAACTGAATATGAATGTAGCATGCAAAAACTTGAATTACTTCCATAAAAAGACAATTTTGTACTTAACAAGATGAATTCCGCCCAACAGGGCAGCGATCGTGACCCTTTATCACAGGAGAGGGTTTTTTTCCTTCATGTATTTTTACATTTGAAGGACTTTCCTTAATAAATCTCTAATCATTTTATGACTTAAAGTTTATGCCGGATTAGGAATCTATCTAGAATATATTTCAATAAATGA